TTAAATTGAGTTTTGAGTCTTAACATAGCTCATTATAAGGTCGACTTAGGGACAAAATGGAGTTATTTCCTGGGGATAGTCCTTTTAGCACTACAGTTATGAGTAACTAAATATATTATTCCTGGTCAAGACCTATTGTAGTATTACTCTTGATTAAGATCGATTTCCTTAGACAAATGTTTAAAACTATTAGCCATATCCTTTAACTATGCAAAATTAAACATTAGCAAACACATACATTTAATCAGAAGAAATAATTTTACTGAGTGTGTATTTGACCATTGTAATGCTCTGTTGTTATTGTTAGATTATCTCAGTTGAATTATTTTTGCCCTGTGGGATTTTGAACTATCTTATGCTTATTGGTCAGATGCTCTACCACTTGAATCACATCTCCAGTGTTAAGTGTTGGTTAACTCCAGAGTCACACTTACCATCCACCTACCCCTCAACTCCTATTCTCAGTTCATTTACAAGCCTTTTCCTGACACTTGTACTATCTCTTCCTTTCTACCACCACCAGAGCCGCACTGGTGCAAGCAGCCCTTACTTGTATTATTGTCATGGTTTCCAAATTGATCTACTATATCCATTCTTGATTTCCTCCCAATTCGTATCCACACTATAATGAGATTAGTGCTTCAAAATCTGATTTAATTTCCACTTTCTTAAGCTTTCTAAAGAATGTCCATTGGGTTGAGGATAAAGACAATACTACTAAGGTAACTCATGGAAAACCACATGAGTAATTTCTCCTAACCTTTCCAGTTCTATTTCATGATCTGTTGGGCCTACACAAAAACTTTTGCGCATTCTATCTCTTCTGTCCTGAATTCTTTCCTTTTCTCTGAATCTAGATGTTCCCACCCACTCCTCAAATTACAGTGCAACTGACAGGCATGAAGTGACTCTCCTTATTAGGTCAGTCCTGAGATCCACCTTCTCATAGCAACATACTCCTCTACATGTCTGCATTGATTACAGTTGCAGCTTTACATTTATTTGTGTGTCTGTTTGATTAATGTGGAGGACAGAGATGCTGTCTGGCTCACTTCCCTATGGAGAGCTACTGACAACACTGGCACTTGATGAGATTCAATGAACACCTGTACAACAAATAGATATTTAGAGAGAGCAAAAATGGTTCCACAGTGGGATTCATTACTTTGATTTGTTAGGGAGTAAATATGATATACAGACATTTATAATACAGGTTAAAGTCACCAAAAGATATGACTGTTGTTTTCAGCTTCTGGTTATATAATAAGTAATAGAACAAGTCCTTTTTTGCATGGAACAGACACTTGCTAATTCTCTACTACAGATAATCCCTAGGACCATGTATTACCCATAAAGCCTTGCTTGCCTGGCTTACACTCTTAAGTGCTGTCTACTTTTTATGAAACAGCATTCTGCATTGAGGGAGTGGTTGAGTCTGCTTCTTGCCAAAGTTGTTTGCTCACTTTAGATTGGCCAATCCCTTTTGCAGACTGTTGTCCATTTTTAAAAACTCTGAATGTTCTCATTTTCCTCAACCACAGCAGAATTTAAAAAACAGGACTTAAATAGTTTAAAAATAGAATAGGAAGACCACTGCTCATTGATAATTCTGAAAATCATGTGTTGAGTAATGATCTGACATCATACAGCATCTTAGAATTTTTCTTGAAGTCATGTTAAGCTGAGTTATGCCAATTCTGCAGAGTGGGAAACTAGATGTCGGTGAAGTTTTAGTCAGTTTATGACAATTTAAAAATTACTGCAGGGAGCAAGAATGACAACCATCAATCACCTATCTTTCAGATCTCACTGCAAGCTTTAAGCCCTCTTATCTCAATCAGGACTTGAGAACAAGGATTCATAGAGTGATTTCATGAAAAGATAGACTGTACATTTGTATAAATGCAACTACTGTATTGCAATTAAGCAATACGCACACTGCTGCTTTGTAGCACCAGGAAAGCAAATAAATTTCTGTTCTGCTTCTTAGGATAGAGATGAGTCAAGCAGCTCTAGTTTGCCGTGAGGAATTCTAAACTAAAGTCCAATTAACAGGGACTGCCATTAAATAATATATTAATGTTGCAGTAGTAATTAGGTCAAGCAAATTCAACACACAGTAAATTCATTCTAATGTTCTGTTTCTTTAAATGTGGTTCTTATATGACTTATATCAGGATAACGTATTGTTTTATTCTCTTCCCCCTGTTTCTTTTCAATCTCTCCACACTTGAGACCTGATGGATCAGAATCTTGGGGAGTAGGGCATAAACATCAGCATTTCAATTCTCCACACCCGTAGTTCTTATGCTAGATAAAGTTGGAGAAACAGATTCTAGGGACTGAGACAGTTGAAAGATTTTTGCCTCTAGTTCTAGGTTTTCTTCTGCCAGGGGGCAGTGTTCTCTGAAATATAGCCCGGTTAATAACCAGGCTGGATGGTAATTTTTTAGGTTTCCTCATACCCTTTCTTGTTCACTGAGCCTGCCATGTGTGATCTGCCATAATATTAAAGACCATAGCAGATGGACTTCCTTAATTTGGGCTTCCCAGAAAAGATTTTGACTCTGTTCTAGTCATTTTAGTTGAATTTCTCAATGTCTTTTATGTGTTACTATGCTTTGGGGTATTCTTGGCTTGAATTAATGAGGGCTAATCATATATTGCAGTTGATTCCATGCCTGAAGTAGGGACTTTGGCTGTGCTCCTGTGAATGAATTTATGAGGATGATCTTGTAGTGAAATTCGATGTAACTATGGCTAGAATATGATGATAGTGGTGAAGCAAAAGAAGAAGATGATGATGAGTATAGTGATAAATTCCTGTTATCTACAATACCTGGTGGAAAATGAAGATCTCTGGCAGTGGTGTTAACAGAAAGTGACGGATGCGGATCTTTTTGGATCATAGATAACAAATATGGACCCAATCAATCCCCATCTCTGGGCTACTATACATAAAAAAGCCTTTTGTTTCTACATAGGTAAAACAAAAAAAGTGAAACAAGGTAAAGGGTAATGTTCAACTCCTGAGGTCTGTTTTTCATTGTCTTCAAGCTGGGTTTTAGCCATCAAATATCAGACAAAATGTAAAGTTGTTGAATTGGTCTGGCAAGGCCTGAGGATGAGTGTGAGAAGAGGAGTGGATTGTCAGAACATAAATGAAATAACAAGCTGGGCTCTGGGGGCTCAAGCCTGTATCCTCCTAGCTACTCAGGAGGCTGAGATCTAAGGATTGTGGTTCAAAGCCATCCTAGGCAGAAAAGTCTTGAGGAGTCTCATCTCCAATTAACCAGTAGAAGGTCACAAGTAGAGCTGTGGCTTAAGTAGAGTGTTAGCCTTGAACAAAAAAAGCTAAGGGATAGAAGCTAACCCAGGCCCTGAGTTCAAGCCTCAGTACTGGCACAAAATAAACAATAACAGAAAAACCAAAAACAAATAAACAAAAAAATCCCAGGATGGCCTTGATATTTTCTTTTGGGGGTTTATCATTCTCCCCCTAAAATAGCAGGCTTGCATCTTAAAATTTTAACAGAAATAATTGAAAAATCGGACTAAAGTACGACTTGCATAAACTGACAAGGAAGCCTGTCTATGCTTTCAAGAGTTCAAAGCTAAAAGGATTGGAGAAGGACTACTTAAAATCTGGCAGTATATTTTTCTTCTTTTCAATTAGTGTTACTAAATTCTAAAATTTGTTAATGAAACCCAGGCTTCCTATGCAATGAGTGCCCCGTAAACAAGATCTTGCTTTTGTGCTATCATGTTTTATAAGAGCTGAGCCTCAGCAACTAGCTGCTGGAGAAATTTGTTTATGTATGCACATATGCACTCTGCTGGAAAGATAGTCACCCGCCTCAGCGTGTAGGACAAAGCCTCAAACAAACTGTCCCTCATTTGAATCCTAAAAGGACACACTATTTAAACAACTTTCCGATTTGCAGCCCTAGATATTTCCCCCCTCCCCTCTAAAAGTGGCGGGTTTTGCTGCCAAATTGCTTAATGAAAGAACTTTTAACTTTCACAATAGCTTTAAAGGACACAGAAGTTAGGGAGCTAGAAGATCATTTCCCTGGAAAACAGCTAGGGAAATCATTGTTGAAATCTAAACTTTGGCTGCTGCCATTGAAATTTGCATCTGGAACTCAAAAGGTTTTCCCTTAAGATTTCTTGATCCCTTATTCCCGGTCCTTTACTCCTTCCTCTTACCCCCAACAAGCTGAGGTTTTGTTTTGTTTTCTTCAGGAACTGGTAGAGACTGGTTATTTTGTCTTTCTTCACAGGGTGAGGATTGATGCTGCTTTGCTGCCTTTTTTTTTTTTTTTTGATAAAAGTTACTTCTCTGAAATTTAACAGCAATCCGAGGGGGGGAATAATACTATCTCTTGTGTAAGTTGCAATTTGGGCAGATTTCATCGTGAGAAACTGTATCTGAGAATGTGGTCATAGAACAGGACCGTTCAAACTGCCAGAAAAATAAACAAATGGGAAAGACAGGGAGAGTTATTAGGGTTATATACATCATAAAACTTTCCTTGTTTTTTTTTTTTAAATGAAGTAGTTGTGAGGTTGACGATATTGAATAATCAGTAAAAAAAAAAAAAGCTGAAAAAATGGTAGAAAGCCTTAGTTCAGCTCTGTCCCCCCCCTTTTATCAGAAAAAATACATTTGGTGTCCTTTTTTTTCCCTTCTTCTTTCTTTCTTTTTCCTTTTTTTTTTTTTTTTGACAAACCATGCTTTTTGTGAGGGAAGTTGTGATCACGCCTTCCTATTGGCTAGGGCAACATGAGCTCAAGTTGCTAGAGGCTACCACATGAAAGTATCTGTGTTAGGGAGGGCTGACAGGGGGTGGGGACAGAGAAGACGATGCCTTAAGCCTCTTAGGCTCCGAGTTGTAATTTGTGAACCAACTGTGATGAAATCGAGCTGTGGACAAATCAGACGAGCCTGTCAACTTCCCAGGTGGGATTGCCTGGAGTTAATAGACAGCGCTCTGAGCCCCCAAAGCAGAAGAGCCCTCTGTGAAGGCAGAGAGCTCTCTGCTGAAGGCTTTCCAAGAATTCTCTGACATGGCAAGAAGCAGCTCAGAACCATCCTACCAGGTAGGAGACGCATGGCAGGGCAAGCAAAATGCTCCCCCTTCACAGTCTGTTTCCTGGGAATTTGAAGTGTTTGTTTCTCAGCTGAAGGCAGCACCTTTAAGATGCATTTTGCAAGCTTGCAGGCTTGGGGATGTGGAAATCATTTGCATTGCCTGCCTGAAATGTGAGGCGAGCCTGCCTAGCTCTGTTTGACAGTTCAATCTCTTTATTCCCACAGGTAATATCCCTGTTCACTTTTGCTATTGGGATCAACATCTGCCTGGGATTCACAGCAAGTCGAATTAAGAGAGCGGAAACATGGGACGAAGGCCCTCCTACAGGTAAGTGTAGTAATGATTTGAGTTTCAATCCACTTGTTAGATTGAAAACATTATACACAGGGTAACCAGAAAGCTCCTTAGGTGACTCATCTTTAAGATGATCTTGCAGGATCACTTTAGTTCTATATTTCTCTGGGATGACACAAACTCTGTCTGTAATTCAGGTGAAAAAAGTGGTTTTAGGTGGAGAACCTTTATTAATTGATCCACAATAACTAAGCCTTAACATCATTGTACTGTGAAATGTATAGCTACTGAGATACAAATCTTCTGAATGATAGGAGGGGTGGCATCAATCAAGATACCATTGCACTCACAAATTAGCCTATTGAATTGAACCCATTTTGTACAACTGTTTAAAGATAATCATAATTAGTAATAACAATAACTTCTGTTCATAGACAAAGCTAAGGCAGATGTGGTGAGAACAGGTGTTGGCTCACTGTTTTGGAGATAATTGAATCTGATTTGTTGTTATGTAATATAGAATATAGTATCTGCTTCCAGAAACTTCTGCCCTAAGAAAAAGAATGGAAACAAAAAAAAAGGTGCAGTAAACTCTTTTTAAAGCTTCAGAAATTTAGAACTTTGAGATTTATCTAAAATAGGAAGGCCTGAAAAAGCTTGATTCATTTGCAAGCCATCAAGGATTGATTCATACTTGGGTTTTCTTCTAGCAAAGGGGAAGGTAAGTTTTAATAGCCTTCCCTGACTTAGCTAACATAACCAAAGTGAAAGCGTTTCCTTTTACAATGTGCTACGCCATGAGCAGAGTGGGAATTCTTATAAAGGAGCTCCTTGTATACAGCTAGGGGGCTTGCATGACCAGGTCTTAAGCAATGAGTTGGTTAATTTCCTGGAAATTGGAGCCACCGATGGTTTGAGAATTAAAAAAAAAATACAGTTGAGGGTACTCTAGGGGGCAATATTTTCTTGATTTTTCTCTGACGTCTTAGCATGTCTGTCCGTCTTCTTCTTGTGAATTTTGTATATCTATATTTTTTTCATTGAAATTACCACCTGTCCTTGTCCAGCCAACATGGATTTTTATTATTAGACGAGTTAGGACACAAGCACTGATAGAATATTAATCTTCTTTACATCACATGAGCTATTTGACTCATGCCAGAGATGGAGAGACTAATACTTAGAAGTGGGTGAGAGAGTTGGGGGGGTGAGATTTGGGTGAGAAGTGAAGAAATAGTTCTTAAAAATTGCAACCCTGTACAGCTGCAAATGTGGTAGAGTGCTTGCCTAGTATGCATGGGGCCCTGGGTTCAATTCCTCTGCACCATATAAACAACAACAAAAAAGTCATTACAAAAATTGCAGCCCTAAGGATTCAAATGCACAAAATGAGTTGTGTTCTGTGGTGGCTAATCACTGGGCTAAAAAAGAAATCTGTTTTATTGATAGCAAGAGCCTCCTGTTAAATAACTCTTGTTAATGCTGATTTTGGCTAATAAGATGGAGCTGGCTCAAGGCACAGGTCCTTGGGCATGTGGGCCAGCTCGGGACTTGATGGCCAACGGCTGGATTTTTCCAGTGAATCTAGGGGGAGCTTTTTTTTTTCCTTCCAGTTTTAAAATGTTACTTTGGTTAAAACTGATATCAAAGAAATTAAATAATACTTTTTTGTATTGGGACTTGAACTCAGGGCCTTAGTACTTGCTAGGCAGGTGCTTTACCTTTTGAGCCACTTCACCAGTATTGAGTTTTTTTTTGAAAGATAAAGTCTTACTTTTTCACTCCACCAGCCTGGCCTGAGATAATTCCTAATTGTGCTTCACAAGTCACTGGGATGACAGGCTGTGTCACTGTGCTCAAGCCATTGGTGGAGATGGAGATTCTCAAACTATCGTGTTTTTCTTCTTTCCCTCTGGCTGGCTTTGACCAGGATCCTCTGATCACTGCTTTTCAAGTGAACCACTGCTGAAATGTTGTTTTCTTAATGAATGCATAAAATCAAGCATCCATTCCTCCCCCCATAGTTTGTGCTTTTGTGTTGTTTCAGTGTGTGTGTGTGTGTGTGTGTGTGTGTGTAGCCTGGCATTCTGGATCCTTGTAGCCTGTGGTATGATTTTCCACAAGTCATTTGTCTTCTTGTCTTCCTCTTAACTGACAATAAGGAACAGCCTAGTTTCTAGTTTCCCTTCTGGAATTAAAAAAAAAAGTTTCTAATTCTGTCCATTTTGTTTCATTGTGTGTTCTCTATGAACAAACTTGGAAAGTATATATTAGATTCATTTCTCCTTTAAAACATTTTGTGTATGATACATCATTTCCAGTGATAAGAAATATTAAGAACATTGTCAGTGTTACTCTGGAAAGGTAGTACATTCTGCATTCAAATCTGTAAATTAGATAGACAAATACATTACAAAACATTTGCTACTGCAATTGTTTAATAAAAACATTGATTATCTTTGTTCTTTATAATAGTGATAGGCATTTCTTAGTTAAATTTCTACCTGTAGCAAGCTTAGTCTCAAGATGTAATTGAAATCTGAGTTTTAGGGTTTTGGTATGCCTGCATATTTTATTTATTTGCTTTATGTAGCTCAACTGCTCTTTTGACACTATGGTTAATTTCTCCAGAAGGAAAAAAAAAGACCAAAGATATTCTTTGGAAACTGGATGAAAGCATAGGGCAGAGAGTTTTTTTTAATCTATTAAAAAATGCTATATATACTTCGAAAGAATGTTTCCTGTGTAATACATGTAATTGATCATTCTAAATGTGAGCAGATCTTTCATGCATGTATGAGAATAAGACCCTAGGAGGGAAAATACTCATTCCTATTTTCCACAATATCTTTAGGCTCCCAAGCCCAGAGAGGTCACATTCATATATGGGCAGCTGCAGCCTGGTCAGAACATAGAACTTCTTGTTTGGTAACTGGAGTGCCTTGGAGCTCCTCCACAAGAGCAGAGGATGATCTGCATGCATGTGTACCCTCCCTGCTGTACTATGGACTGAGGTGTTGTTTCAAGGCTGTGACATTGCAAGCAAACTCATGATTAATTAACTAGCTTGGTAGCTGGATTGATTGTCAGAATGGAATAGACCTTCTACTTTTGCAGCATAGGCTTGTAAAAGATCTATAGATTTATTAGGAGGTATGAAATGAGCAGAGTAAATTATAATCTTTTTGGGACTTACATAAGGGACAGTAGGACAAATGAGGCCACAGAAATTAATTTCCTGTTCTTTTTCTTGTTGTTGTTGATAGTGGTTGAACTCAGAGCCTCACACTTGTCAGGCAGACATTCTACTATGTGAGGCACTCCATTCCCTGTAAGTGTTAATTAGTTTTGAGACAGTGCCTTGATTTCTGACTGGACCAGCCAGGACTGTGATCCTCCTATTAGTTTTGCTGCATTTCTGGGGTTACAGGCGAAATTGGCTGCACTTAACCATGGAGTCTTATGAGATTTTTGTTGTTGTTGTTACTCCTCAGACTAGTCTTGAACTGCAAATCAGTTCCTACATAACTAGGATTACAGAAGTTAACTTTCAAGGAAAGTTGACAGCTTTGTTCTGAGTGTCTGATGCGTTGCTTGATTCACACAGGTGTTGGACAGTCACACACATTTGTGTGTACACTTTTGCAGCATCACTGGGGACTCTACTTTATACAAGCTTTTGACTTGCAAATTCTTCCAGCCTACAAGTATAAATGGAATAGCTTCTCTACTTAATACTTGAATGACAAAGGGAAATTTGTGAGCTTGTGATTCCCTGGTTATTAGGAACTTGATTGCCCAATCCAATTTACCACTATTTTTAGTGGCTTCACAAGACAGTTTGGAAATACACTTGTAGGTAAATGTGACATAAAGTGTGCTGCTAACAATTTTATGAGAAAATAGAAAATGGTATGAGGAGTTGGTAGGCTCATGTTCATTTGATAATTGTAAGAATCTCACTCTAGCTTTGAAAGCAGAATAGAAGAAACTCTTAAGCTGATAGATAGAGCCATTATGTTTTCAGGAAAATGATCTTAGGAGCCATATTGTAGAATGCGATATTTTAGTGTTAAATCTAAGAGTTTGAGGAATTTAAGTCCATCTGATTTAGAGACTCAGGAAGGCATAGGTTTGTGTGTGTGTGTGTGTGTTGGTGGTAGGGTTTGAACTCAGAGTCTGGGTACTGTCTCTGAGCTTTTTCACTTCAGGCAAGCACTTCACCATTTTGAGCCACAATGCCACTTCTGGTTTTCTGATGGTTAATTGAAGATAAGCATCTCATGAGCTTTCCTGTCCAGGCTGGCTTTGAACCACAACCACAGATCTTGGCCTACTGAGTAGCTAGGATTATAGGTGTGAGCCACTGGTACCCAGCTTAGAAGCATTTTTTTTTTTTTTTTACCGGTCCTGGGGTTTGAACTCAGGGCCTGGGTACTGTCCCTGAGCTGCTTTTGCTTAAGGCTAGCACTCTACCACTTGAGCCACAGTGCCACTTCCAGCTTTTTCTATTTATGTGGTGCTGAGGAATCGAACCCAGGACCTCATGTGTGCAAGCCAAGCGCTCTACCACTGAGCCACCTTCCTAGCCTAGAAAAATAAAATTGTAAAACCACTTGGAAGGCCATCTTTGGGAATGGATTTTCTCCTGACAGAAAGTGACCCCAACTCCATCTTCACTGGCAGAGCTCATCATTCACTCAAATGTATCCCAAAGTTCACAAGGAGGAGAAGGAACCTTGGCATAATTGCTTTTAATAAAGGATCCGAAACTCAATTAGAAGATGAACTACAATACAATGATATGCAACACCTACTAGTTTAGTCTGTTACATGATACTGGTGTGAATTCCTTGTTATTTCATTCTAAAGCATTTGTAAATAAATGCCCCAGATAGTGTTTGCATTATCAGCTAGAAGGTTAATCAGCATGTTGTAAAATGAGGACATAATGCAGTATATGATTACCCAGAGTGGTTTACTTATATGGGAACAAATGAAGTATAGTTAGGAGAAAACCAGTGGGACTCTCACTTAAAAAGACTTGTAGACGTAAAACATTTAATTAAAAAATATTGACACTGCAATTTACATCATAGGTAATGTACACAATACATTGTATAAATGCCAGGTTTACTTATTATTTTTTAAAGGGAAGTGTAAGTTCCACTGTGGTTGAGACTTGAAGAGCCCACATTCGATCACAGTGATGTGTGGTTAGCCCCAATTGCTAAATACTTGGATCAAGTCATAGCCAGTTTTATTGCAAAAAGACCCTGCACACATTTATTTACCAATAATAGTACTTAATAGCTACCCAACAAATCATAAAGTAAAAAAACCAAGTGCCATGAGAAAAAAGAAATGTCACTCAACCTTCTGCCTGTTAGTAACCTGTCACTCAAAACCAGAGGGCCCCTCGCTGAGGCCTGTGAACAGCCCCCACTTCCCCCCTCATCCTGAGTGGGAGGTACAATGTCTTAAGTATGAATGCAGCGTGCTATAAACAATGGTGCACCAACAAAATAGTCACAAATTAAGCCAAAGTATTTACAGATTTTTACTACAAAATGCCATAAAAAGCTGCTCTATTTAAGCTTTCTCACTCTGTAATCCGGAGAGACAGCTGGATGTCTGTGGATGACTCCTTTGGTGTGGATGGCACACAGATCAGTGTTTCTCCCCCGTTCCCCCCCCCCCCACCAATGTACTCCAGTGGCCTCTTAATGAGCACCAAGGACTCTGAAACCTCAGGTTGCTGCTGAGATCCTAGATGATCTCTTTCACTAACTTCTGAAAGGCAGATTCGAGATAAGATGGTCCTTCCATTCCTGTTAATAACCAATCTCTTGAAAGTATCTAGAGTCCTGGGGCCTGTAGCTTCCCTATGGAATGAGTTCTTTTCCTGGCAGCTAGTGGCCTTTCCCACAGGGTTGGGTTGGGTCTTTCTCATCAGTGAAAGTAGGAGCAGTTGACTTGGTTGAGGTCTAAATGTTTTCAATTTTGAATACTGTCTCTCTTATTGATCATCATGCTAATTTGAAATTTCCCTTTGTGTGTGTGTGTGTGTGTGTGTGTGTGTGTGTTGGCACTGGGGCTTGAAGTCAGGGCCTTGCACTCTCCTTTGAGGGTTTTTTTGTTTGTTTATGGGACTTGAACTGAGGACCTAGGCACTGTCTCTGACTTTTTTTGCTCTTCCACTTTAAGCCACTTCCAGTTTTCAGGTGGTTAATTGAAGATAAGAGTCTCACAGTCTTTCCTGCTTGGACTGGCTTCAAACCATAATCTTCAGATCTCAGCCTCCTGAGTATCGAGGATTAGAGTTATGAGCCACCAGTGTTCCCCTTTCCTTTGGCTTTTTTGCTCAAGGCTGGCACTCTACTATTTGATCCACAGCTCCACTTCCAGCTTTTTGCTGATTAACTGGAGATAAGAGTCTCATGGTACTTTCTGACTGGGCTGGCTTTGAACCTCAATCCACAGGTCTCTGTCTCCTGAGAAGCTAGGATTCCAGGCATGAGTCCCTAGAACTTAGCTGAAAACTTCTATATTGTAGGGAAAACTGATCAAAAGCCTTGGATGCAGTTCAGTTTGGCCACAACTCTTGTCACCCATAGGGGGCAGGTGATAGAGCCAGGTTTCTCATGCAGTCTCCTGGGAGCACCCTGTGAGTGGTTTCTGGGCGTCACATTTGACTCACACTTCAAGTTGTTGCCGTTCATCCCTAGCAGTATTATCGGACTCCCCCTGGACCAACACTTCCGGATCGTGCAAGGGTAGATGCTTTGAACTTCAGGAAGTTGGCCCTCCTGAGTGTCGGTGTGACAACCTGTGTAAGAGCTACAGTAGTTGCTGCCATGACTTCGACGAGCTGTGTTTGAAGACAGGTAAGTCCCTCTCCATTCCTGGCTCTCTGCCCTGGTGCATGCCGGAGCCTCCCTCTGCTTTGGTCTATCGAAGTGTGGATTTTCTTGTTTGTTTCTTGAATGGCCGTAGATTGTATGATGAACACAGTCTGTGTGAGTGACTTACAGTCTACCGTTGGCCCAGCCATAGCGAGCTCTTTCCAGCGGCAGGCATTAGATGCTGATTTTGGAGGCATTTGTGGCCACGCTGTGGTTTACCTTCATTAGTTCCATCTCTTCCTGAAATTTCCACATTCGCTGCTTGGTCACATGACTGTGCTCATAGTGTTGGGTTAAAAAAAAACAACAACCCCAAACACCAATCCTTGTGTTCTATGCAAATAGAGCATTTTTATGAAGTTCTGTTTGGCATCCTAGTAGCTCCAAAATCTTCTTCTAAACTTTTCTTGGTTTGCTTTGCATTTTTTCTATACTGAAATAGTCCTTAGAGCATATGAACTATTGAGCAAATGCCCGAGTCATGGGGTGGGGGCTTTTGCCATCTCTTCACCCCCATTTTGAAAGTCAAACATTTTGGATGTGTGGACCAGCTTGCAACCGAACCACCACACCCCTGGGTGAACCATCCAGAGGGACGGGCGCCAACCCATTCTCAGCACCACTAGAAACAGATGCCATGGCTTCCTTGAGAATTCATTGCTTACTTATTTATTTTTTCACTTTTGTGCATGGATGATTTCTTCAAAAGCCTGACTTGTATTGTTGTTGGTATTTGTTTGATGCTTTCTAAGAAAAGATATCATTAGAAATGGAAGTATGATTTTCTTTAAGCCCCAGAACTTCATTTATATAAAATTAACTTCAACCCATTACTAATTCTGATTTGCTCTCCTACCTCCTGAAAAATAAAAAAAAGCTGCATTAGGGGATATCTATTTGTCTGTCTGTCTATCTTATTGATCTATCTATTTATACTAATATATATATCCATTCTAATATATATCCTTATATACATGTGTATAATTTAATAAATGTATATGTATGTATACATATGTATGTCCTAATAAGCCTATACATAATGCATTTTCCAGACATTTCATCACTTTTTTGGGGGGGTTGTTTTCTTCTTCCAGGTTCTTAGCTGTGAATCTGCAAACTTATGTACTGAGACCCTTGTAAAATTAAGTATATGGACACAACAGATGTTCCAGCAAAGTTCTTGTGGCTCTGAAACATTATTTCCAAATACCAGTCTGTGTTTGCATAGCACAGTGGATTTTACTAACTTCTTACATCTTGTCCATACTTGAGTATTTTGCCCCTGACAAGTTATGTCAGCCTTCCAAGTCCTGCAAAGATTAGTGCATCATGGGACTCTGGCTAAGCTTTCTCCCTGAAAGAAGCTCGAGCCTTTCTTCCTAGGTTAAGTAGACTGCAATAACATTTTATAAAATAACCCTGTGTACAAAGGCAGTGGAAGAATGAGATATCAAATAACAAAAAATGGAAGGAGGAAAGAAAAGTCTCAGGGACTCTGCTATGCCGACACAAGCACCCTAGAAACAAAGTTTCAATATAAATTCTTCCTGCTGTGTGTGTGTGTGTGTGTGTGTGTGGTGTGTGTTGTGTATGTATGTGGATTTAGTATACTATGAATGTATGCACCATGTGTATGTGTTTGTGTGTAGCAATATTTTTATCTATAAACTTTGATATATATATATATCTTCCTTTTAAATGGCTATATTAGTATTTCCTTGAACAATTCATTGAGTAATTCATCAATATTTATGTTAACTCCAATTTTGTTACTATGATGAATGCATTATAGTTTGTTGGGTTCCTTGCATGTGGTAGTATTTCCCAGTTGGAATGGAAGCCCTGTGAATATAGAGGTCATGTCTCTTCTTGGTCAATGTATCTTGAGCATAGATATAGACATAGAACATAGACATCATGGAATAAAGATTGTTGAATTTGTGACTTAACCATGGACATTTTCAATGTTTTGGATTTCAAGAGTTAGTTTGTTTTTCATGCCTATTTCCAATGAGAGTTAATAAATATCAATGAATGCCTGCCATGTGTCGGCCACAGTGTTACAGTCTTAGAGTCTACAACTGGAATTACAGTGGTGAAAAGAGCTTTGTAGTCTATGGGAGGAAAGTCAAACAAGCAGACAAATAAAAAATATAACACCGTGATGAACATGAAAAGGTTACTTTTCATCTCTCAGAAGAGTTGAACTATGAGCTATCAGTTATGGGTGCTCAGACAGGATTTCTCTATTCCCCATCCACTGACATCTGTGCCAGTAGAGACTTCTATTGGAGAGACAGCCACGTTAGGGTCATAAGTGAGAACTGTGAGTGTTTTAATGCTCCTTTATTTTCTTCCCTCCCTCTTTCCCTCCTTCCTTTCTCCCTCCTTCCTTTTCTCCCTCCTTCCTTTTCTTTCTTTCTTTCTTCCTCTTTCTTTCTTTCTCTCTCCTTAAATTTCTTTCTTTCTTTCTTTCTCTCTCTCTTTCTCTCTTTCCCTCATTCTCTCTTCCTTTCCAACCCTTCCTTCTTTATTCCATGCTTCCTTTTTCTCTTTTTCTGTCTGTCTGCCTGGCTGTCTTTCCCTCTCTCTCTCTTTCAAACCCGGGGGCTCCTACATGCTAAGCAAGTGTTGGACACTTAGCCACAGCCCCCCTTGCCCTTTATATTGCTTTATATTTTTTTAGGACTTTAACCTCAGGGTCTATCTCTGGCCATTAGAGACAATTTAGTCATGTGTTTAACTCAAGGTGATCTAAGTTTAGTAAAGATCCTTCTAAAAATATAAAAAGCAGAAAGTGGAGAAGGTTCTCGCAATGGTAGATGTGCCCATCACAAAATTCTGATACCCTATGTTTTATTGGATCCTTTAGGACAATTCAGGAATGATAGGCATACTTTGATGGCTTTTCTGGCTTCTCTTTTCCCCCAAAGAGGTCAATTGTACTTTGACTGTGCCCTCTGATTTGAAAAATTAGAAATTCAACTTATCTGTGAGTGCTCTAAACATCTTCTCAGCCTCTGGCTGACTGAAATTGCACAAGCTGAGTCAGTGGTGTGGTGTTTGAGCCTTTTCGTTGGAAGCTCTTGGAAGCAATCGTGGCCTCTTTCGTTCAGTTTGTGCACAGCAGCAAAAGTGTTTTATTGTGATGATTTCAGCTCGTGGCTGGGAATGTACTAAGGACAGATGTGGAGAAGTACGAAATGAGGAAAACGCTTGTCACTGCTCTGAAGACTGCTTGGCCCGGGGAGACTGCTGCACCAATTACCAAGTGGTTTGCAAAGGTACAAGACTTGGATTGGCTTCAGATTTGACTTCTTTAATTGGGATTAACCTTAAAGGGTTTCAACTCAACATGTCCATTTCTAAGTGCAGCACATCTTGATCTGTGTCACCTTTCATCATTCTTCCCTATCTCTCCCAACCCCACCCAGCCCTTGGAGTTAACCTGGTTCCATTTTCACATGTGTGCACTGGATATTACGACTCCATTTGCCCACCGTTTCCCTCTCTATTCATCTGCCCTCTTCCCTTTGACGCCCCCTCTCCTCCACTCCTGACCACACATGTTTCAGCTTCCTGGTATTCATGTTGAGAAATGGTAAGGTAGTTGTTGAAAGGAGTTCCACTGGAATCCTCCCCTGTGTATACCATACATTAGCCAGTTGGTGTGTGTGTATATATATATGCATGTTGGCTTCAGATCTTAAAGAATAAAAACACTTGAGAAGCTCCCAGAGCTCCTGGGTACCACGGATGCCATGTCTAGGATGGAGATTTGGGAGGAGGGAAGGAGTTGCACTGATTAATTCTCTTGTGCTGCTTTCTTACCTTTGCTTACTTCACATTTCAGTGCCCTGAAGTGATAAGAAGATAAACCGCCTTCCTCAAGTAGATTAACCCATAATCATTAAGAGCTTGCTTAAATTTTTGGTCTTGGATTTAGATCAGGTTTACTAGGAGCAGAGCCCAAGAGAGGAAGTCGATTCGTGGAGGTTATTGAAGGACTGTGGGAAGCAGGATGGGAGGGCAGGGATGGGGATGAGAACAAGGATGTGGTCCCAGGTTAAAGGCTCACCTTGGACCTGATGGCTTTGGAAAGTGAATCCCAGGGTTGCTCAGGACATGCCATTTTTGTTTGTCTTAGAGCCACCTAAAGTAAATTCTTTTTGATCATATTCATTTTCTGCAGAGAAACTGTCTTCTAGTCTGTTTTATGACGCTATAGCAAAATACTTGAAGCTGGGAGCTTTACAGGGAAAAGATGCTTATTTAGTTCGCAGTTCAGGAGGCTGAACATGCAAGCCCAGGCAGCCCATGTGTTGGTCTTTAGTGCTGTCTTTCTAGCTTCCTCCCAACAAAGCAGGTTGTGTCACAATGATGGGTTAGAAGGGAGCTGTGGGGTCCCTTAGAATAACCATTCATGTGGAAATTAATCTGACCCAAGGAAACCAAGTTTCTAGCACATGACATTTTGGGGAAGCATACCATAGCAGAAGTCTATTTTTTAAAAATCGGAGCACTTTCCTATTGTGTGTGTGTGTGTGTGTGTGTGTGTGTGTGTGTGTACTAGAACTTGAACTCAGTGCCTACACTCTTGCTTAGCTTTTTTGCTCAAAGTTGGTGTTCTACCACTTGAGCCATGCCTCTACTCTTTTTTTGCTGGTCAATATGGAGATAAGAGTCCGATTTATCTGCTTGGACTGACTTTGAACTAGAATCCTCAAGTCTGAGCCTCCTGAGTAGCTAGGATTATAGGCCTGAGCCATCAGCACCTGGATTCTGTTCTCTGTTCTTGCCTTCAGACTCAGAACAGAGGCGAGCAACTGCTCTGCTCTCAGATGTGAGTGGAAGGTAAGAGTGGAAGGTAGCCTTGGTTTTCACTTATAAATTCAACCACACCCATTGGCAAATAACCTCCATGTTGCATTTTCTCCTGGTCAACTCTGCATATCGCAAGCCTTTCTCCTTTTCTGAAGGGAAGTTGTGTCATGCTTTCTATGGCTTTGAGATCTTCAGTGGCAGGGAAAAGAATGTTCCAACTAATGGCCAAACAGTTTATTTCTGGAGGGATACAAACATGAAATTTTGTTCACTGACGCCACTGGGTTTTTTTTTTTTAATCTACAAACCATTTAGACTCCGAAGGCTTGAATAAACATCACTTGAGGTTATTAAATCTTAGCTTTCCCACCATGTATGGGTGTATTTTCAAAGCCAAACTAGACACTGGACTTTATTTCAGAATGTCTTTTTAGCCAATGTCTCATAAACAAGTATCGAACAGGGCACAGCTCCTGTGCTTGTGTTTCAGCCCTGGGTGACAGCCCTGATCAGACTTCGCTCCTGTGCTTGTGGTTCAGCCCTGGGTGACAGCCCTGATCAGACTTCGCTCCTGTGCTTGTGTTCAGCCCTGGGTGGCAGCCCTGATCAGACTTCACAGCTGGTGTTTTCACTCTTTTCCTCGCAGGAGAGTCTCATTGGGTAGATGATGATTGTGAAGAAATAAAAGCCCCTGAGTGCCCAGCTGGGTAAGTGGTTTCCAGGAGTACTATGAAGCCTCTTATCTTCAGTTAACCAGCAAAAAATTAGGAGTGGAGGTGTGGCTTAAGTGGAATTGTACCAGCCTTGTTGGAAAAAGCCAAGTAAGACCCTGGGATCTAGGCTTAGTAATAGCTCACAAAACAGTGCTCAGTCCTTCCTTCCTTTCTTTCTTTCTGTTGTGGGGCCTGAACTCTAGGCCTCGGCGCTATCACAGAGTTCTTCAGCTCAAGGCTAGTGCTCTACCACTTGAGCCACAGCCCCACTTCCAGCTTTTTTCTGCTTATGTGGTGCTGAGGAATTGAACCCAGGGCCTCATGCATGCAAGGGCAATCACTCTACCCCTCAGCCACCTTCCCAGCCCGTGCTCAGTTATTTCTAAATGAAAAGAGGTCTGTGGAGAAGAAGCTTGGTCAGTGACAAGAGTCATGACTATAGTCAACCCTTCTGTAGCATGGTCCTAAATGCTTTTATGCAGCTCATTTGAAATATGCTTCATTTCTCATGGGCTTCAAATAAACTGAAACATGCTAAATAGGACTCAGACTATTAGAAAAATAATCTGAACCATGTGTTAATGTTCTCAAGTCTGATTGGTCCATGCATCTTTAGACAATCACAAAGGATCATTTAATCAGATCCTGGCCTGGGTAGATAAAGAATTTTATCCTTTGTTGATGTATTATTATTATCACTATTATTATTATTATTTAGAGATCTTCATAAGGTGTTATTTTTGAAATTATTTTATTAAGCTCAAAAGAATGTGTTTATAAGTGTTTTGATTTAGTGGTAGACATGTTAGCAATTGCCTGCTCATTAATTAATATTTTCTTTTATTTTTTTTGTCAGTTGTGGGGTTTGAGCTCGGGGCCTGGGCACTGTCCCTGAGCTCTTTTGTTGAAGGTTAGAACTCTTCCACTTTGAGCCACAGTACCACTTCTGGTTTTCTGGTGGTTTATTGGAGATAAGAGTCTCGTGACCTTTCCTTCCTGGGCTGTCTTTGATCCATGATCTCAGATCTCAGCCTCCTGAGTAGCTAGGATTACAGGCGTGAGCCACTAACACCTAGCTATATATTCATATTTTCAATGAATATTTATTAAAATCCTACTCTGGGTCCATAATACAGAGAAACAGGTGGCACACAGGTGTTATTGAAATTTGTGAGGAAGAGAAACATTATTTCAATAAAATGTACAATGATGTAACTATGAGTGATAGAAGAGGTAGAAATTAATATTTAAAGGAACTCAGAAGCATGAGCAACTAAACACTATGGAAGAGGGAATTTTAAGCTGAGTTTTAAAGAATGCATAGGTGTTTTCTATGGCAAATGAGAGACTACATATTTTATGCAGACACGACTAGATTTTTAACAAGATTATATTGTAGCCTTATGTGTAAGGCAACAGGTCACATCAGAGAGATAGTAAAGGCCCCACATCCTTTCTTGTAGCCACCTGTGACTTCCATCATTTCCCTCTGGATTTCAGTTGCCTCAAAGGTTGTGTGTCTGGAAGTCCAGGCCTGACCTGCCACCATCCTCTCTTAAAGACTCATCTTAGAAGTTATGGGTCCCAATGATTGAGAGGGATGGCAATGAAAACTGTGCAAAGACTTGTTCTGAGGCTTAACCCATTGCTGTTGAAGGTTTGCTCGCCCTCCATTGATCATCTTCTCTGTGGATGGCTTCCGAGCGTCGTACATGAAGAAAGGCAGCAAGGTCATGCCTAACATCGAGAAGCTTCGTAAGTGTGACCGTCCATACCAGTTAGGTCTTGGCAGTGGACTTGGAGATCAGGATCTGCTGATTGGAAACACAACAACGGAATGATGATGTCTACCGTGGGTTTTATATGTTAACTGATTCCTGTTGATTCTCTGGCCCTAATGTCTGACATGCTTGTTCCAGGGTCCTGTGGTACACATTCTCCTTACATGAGGCCCGTGTACCCTACAAAAACCTTCCCTAACTTGTACACTTTGGCCACAGTAAGTATTTATCTTAAATGATGTATGTTCAAAGAAATCTTTCTTCTTCCTTTCTTATCTGTGTCAACTGTTCACAGCAACTGCCTTTTACAACTTGATGAGTGACTGAACTTAATTGCTCCCTTAGAACTGAAGCCTTTATGAGATGTAACTCTGCCTGGACACACACACACACACACACACACACACACACACACACTCTCACATTAAACCTCTCTCACACACACACACACACACACACACACACACACACACACTCTCACATTAAACCTCTCAAACTCCAGAGGGCCTGCTATTCCTCTCTGAACTTCAGGACTATTGTGTGTGTGTCTATGTGTGTATGTTTTGTTTGCATTGCATTTACAAATACACATATGTTTATACACACTGACTCTTTTTTTTGGGGGGGGGTCTGGTTGTGGAGCCTGAACTCTGGGCCTGGGCACTGTCCCTCAGCTCTTCAGCTCAAGGCTAGCGCTCTACCACTTGAGCCACAGTGCCACTTCCAGCTTTTTTCTTTTTGCTTATGTGGTGCTGAGGAATCGAACCCAGGGCCTCATGCATGCAAGGCAAGCACTCTACCACTGAGCCACCTTCCCAGCTCCCACACTGACTCTTTAACATTATATATAATACATTTTATGTTGTTAACCTAAAAAATTAGCTGTTAATACATTGCTCAATTAGGTGTTAATTCATTGCTCATTTTGTAACCTGCTGAAGTAAACTCCATGGAACTATTTTTGGGTTTATACCTTGTTTATATCTTGATGTTTTTAAGAGAAATTAATCTTGATTGCAATCCAGATTTGAGCAAAAAGAAACAACAATGTTAAGGTTCCTTATCTGTGTCACTTCTTCCGGTGCAATAGTTCTTGCTATGTAATGACAGACATATACTGCCAGAGAACACTAACCAAAATTTCCCATCACCATGGTAGTGCCAATGCTAATATTTGCGTTCTCTGTGTTTTCATTAATTTTTTGGGTGCCATAAATTTTACTTTACCTTCTTCTTTCAAACACAGTCTCCTTGTTGTTCCTTCTCCTCCTCCTCCTCCTCTTCTTATTTTTCTTCCTCCTCCTCCTCCTTTTCCTCCTCCTCCTTCTCTTCCTCCTCTTCTTCTTCCTCCTTCCCTTCCTCTTCCTCTCCTTTCCTTCCTTCTTCCCTCCTCTCTTTCCTTCATTCCTTCTTCCCCCCTCCTTTTTTCCCCTTATTGTGGTTTGAAGGAAGAAATTGAATTTAACTTTAAAAAGGCAAAGTAATATTTGGAAATGGAAGAATCTTTGGAGATGTACACATAAATGTCAAACTAATGAAAAGTTGTTATTTTATTAAGTTACAACAGCTAAAAACAATTATTTACTTTATTAGAGTTATGACGTTTCTCCAGTGACTTATAAATAAGTAGCTGATATTTATATTTGCTTAGGACTGAGGTATGGTAACACACTATATGTATCTTAACTGCTTTTGGAAATTATTATAAAACCTGTGATAGGAAGGTTTGTAACAGAACAGATACATGCAAGTTATGGTATTGTGTTTTTAACAAGAAATTTGCTTTATCTCAAGGGTCTGTATCCAGAATCCCACGGGATTGTTGGCAACTCCATGTATGACCCTGTGTTCGATGCCACCTTCCATCTCCGAGGACGGGAGAAATTTAATCACAGGTGGTGGGGGGGTCAGCCGGTAAGTTTTGCATTTTGAGTGTGTATGTGCTGTGAAATGTATCATCTCTGAATTTGCTACCTGAGAAAAATATGTAATGAACTCATACTTGGAAATATTTGTCTTTTGATGTCGTATATACATGTACATATGGGTAATATGCATAGGTAAGGTAATGCATTTACTTGTGTGGACATACAGTTCACATGCTGACACACAAATTTGTCCCCATGTACATATGTAAGAGTGGGAGATGATAACCGTCTTTCCCCAGGATGTTACTGGTAGAAATGCCACCGTGAGTTTCAGAAACATTTTGAAGGACTATATAGTCAGATATGATTAATTGATCAGATTTGGGGATACAGAGAAAAAACAAAATGAATAATTATATCTCTCCTGATATTTTGGACCGTAATAAGCAGAAATGGTGACGTTTGCTAGAAAAGAGGAACTCACTGCAGCCCATGGTAACTCCATGACGTCTTTTAATTAATCCCGTTGTGAAATTATGCAAGTTAACTCTAACAAGTAGATGTCTATCAATTAACACTCTCTGATCAAATGGCTGGGAAAAGCACCAAAAGGTGCTTTCCTGGGAGGGTGAAAGATTAGGCAACTTTGGTCAGCCTTGAGCAATGTAGTGACATAAGAGCTGAGGTAGCTGAAGGTGTAGCACTGGGCTTGAGAACTCGAGTTTGGAATCACCAAAGGCGCTCTCCCCGCAGACACAGTCACCCAGAGTCGTGTAGAGAGGATGAGAATTGACTCTATGCCATGCAAATAAACACATAAACACAGAAAGACCTAGAAAACTCTCTTTACAATAGATATTCTGATTTTGTTGTCTTTATTCCGGCTGGACTTCCAGAAGTATATGACAACCTAGGCTGCCGATCATACTGAAATTTTTCAACCAAGTTTACTATAAAAGATAATCAATGGGTAACAAAATGATGGGTATTCGAACTCAAACAGGCAGTTGTGAGTTGGTCTTTTGTAATAATTTTAGCATGGAAGTCACCTTGCCCTATGAAGCACAGAGATCGTAGCGGTGAATAGTAATTCTATCTAATTGGATCACCTTTTGCTTGGTGTTGACGTAAGGTTTCCTCTGGGTTAGCATGAGTCACAGCAGAAGAGTCCACAGATTTATGAACTTGTGAAGACCAGAGCTGAGGGGAATGCTAACTTACCCATGAAGCAAAGCTTATTTCGGCTCTGATGCCTCATTCCTCACCGACGCTCCAAAGTTGACACATTTGACCAGTCTTCTAATGCTGACCAAGACTGTGGGGGAAAGGGATTTGTATTTATGTCCACCATCTTTATCAGGATGGGCATGGTTAAAATTCTAAAGCCCATTGCAACTATAACTTAAAAGATCCATTTTATTGACATTTATTGACCTATTGAGCAAATATATAGGCAGAAACTGAGAAATATGATAAAACACAATTAATAAAACTTGCTCAGGCATGTATACAAACCACTGAGTCTTGTACAATTCACAAAGTCGCTAGTGAGAAAATAATTGGAGTAAAGAAAATATTTATAAAAATCTTAGACTGGTAATTAAATTTATTTTTACTGAATGACTAAATGTAATACATTTGGCCAAATATCATGAGGCACCAGATTAAATGGTGAATAAGCTACTTCTTATCCTTGTTTAAAACCTACACGGGAGTGAGACAGTTTACTGTGTTCATCTGAGATTTTAATGCACTGTTTTTGTTGTTTTTTTTTAAGCAAGGTTTGGCTATGTAGCCCAGGCTGACCTTGAGTTTGTGCTCCTCCTGCTTTGTCTTCCAAGTGCTAGGATTACAGGAATGAGCCACCATGCCTAACTTCACCTGCATATTTGAATTTCACTATTAGTCTTCCAAAGATAATTTCCCTACTTTAATTTCTTCTTTTTAAAATGCAGATATAGGTATTTTAGCAAACTCTTAATCTGCTTTGAATTTGCTCACCTTCAGGATGTACTATTAGAGATCATCATTCACTGTTCACTGGCCGACCCTGCACATAGAGTTCCTTCTATGTGTTCCTTTGAAAATTCCCTTAGCTATAACCCTGCAATTTTGGATAGAGAACTCAGTGAAGTGGTTTAATGATGTCGGATCTTAAGGTCTAATCCAAAGCCTGGCGCAGTTAGGTGTGCCCCGGCTCTGCTGAACTTTCTTCTCAGGTGGACTTTACCTGTGCAGCCTCTAGGGTAGGCCATCCTTGAGAACAGCATTTCTCCCCCTCCCCCACCCCTTCTCTTCTTCCTTCTCCTTTTTGCCACACAAAAACTCTACCCCAGTCTTATGTGTGCATGTGTGTATGTATGTGCACATGCATGCATGTGTGCAAGTGTGTGTATTTTCCAGATAGAATCTCATGCTTTTGTCCTGATGACCTAAAACCACCTCTCCAGTAGCTCAGATTACAGATGTGAAACATCACCCCTAGCTCAGGAGTCCATCTCCGGAGTGTTGGCAGTTCGATGGCCATCTTTCAGCAGCTTTGCTGTCACCTGCTCCTTGCCATAACCCCCGCCGTGATGTGTGTGCCGCACCCCTGCCTGGACCTCACATCCGCAGCGTCTCCTGATTCTCAGGGACGACTTACTTCTTCTGCACATGCTCAGCTGCCTCCGGCCTCTCTGGATTCTAGTTACCCTTGCGCTGTGATTTTGAATGCAAAAGAAAAAAAATGGAAAAGAACTGCTAAGAGAGACTACAATCATATTTCTATTTAAAAAGTATAGTTTGCTTATTCTTTTTCAAAGCTTCTCTTTTTGTCATACAGTGGATTCCAATGAAGAAGTTTAATTTATTCCTGAAATCATAGCAAGAGGACACAACGTTATTCCCCTTTGTTCTGTTTTGAAATGTAATATTTAGGGCATCCGTGTTGAAAGTTGGGTCCCCAGATACAACAGAGCAATGACTGAATTTTGGGGATTAAAGGTGAAAAGCCTAACTCTGTTTTCTTAGATCCTTTGCTTTGCTTGGCTTTTTAAATAACCTGTGAGGAAATTTATCTTTGCATTCAAAAATCAGAGAGGCTAGAACTCTGATTTCTCTGAATGAAGAAGAAAATAGCAAGTCCTGCCTCTCTTCTCTGTCTTTTGTACAGTCCTAGAAAGCTGTTTTTACTTTCTTTCTTTCTTGTTTTTTGAGCAATGTTTTAGCGATTCCTTTTTTCTCTTGGGAATTATTATACACACGTACATATTCCTTTGCAGAATATATACCACAAAAATATATACTTCAGAATATACATATACACACATATATAGGTATATATTACGCATATATTCTGCAAAGAATTCCTAAAGCAATGATAGAACTTAAGAACTTCAGTGTAAATCTTGAAGCATCTGTTAAACCTTGATAGCTTCTTTTAACATTTTTAATGTTTTTGTTGGTGTTCATTTCAAGTGTTCTTGGTTATTTGTTTGTATTTTGTTCTTCTTACCATGCTTCTCGATCTTTTAGAATATAAGATCAGAATATGTCTCTACCAAGAAGTAAGGAGAATTTTCTTGCTCTTTTTCCCCCAATAAAGATCCACAGACCTCCGTCCCCTTCCACCCCTACCCCCTATCTTTTTTTTGTCAGTTGTGGGCTTGAACTTGGAGCTTGGGTGCTGTTCCTGAGCTCTTTTGCTCAAGACTAATGCTCTACCACTTTGAGCCACAGTGCTACTTCCAGTTTTCCATGAGACTTTCCTGTCCAGGCTGGCTTTGAACTGTGATCCTCAGATCTCAGCCTCCTGAGTGCTAGGGTTACAGGAGTAAGCTACCAGTGCCCGGCTTTCTTCCACCCTTTTGAGATAAGGTCTTTCTAGTTATACCAGCATGGCCAGAACATATTCTGTATGTAGCCCAGAATTGTCTTGAGCTCTTAATCCTCCTGCTTCTAAGTACTGAGACAGCAGTCATGTAATTCCAGTCCTTATTAGAAAGACACTTCTTGACCTTTACATTTTCTTTATCATTTACATTTTAGTTCTTATTTTCTGATGTTAATTCCCCAATGCATTTTTAGAAAATACAGAAAAGTATAAAGAAGAAAGTAGTTTTCTATCCGAATAAATAATTCATGCTGATAAAAATTGCAGGCTCTTTCCTATCACACAGTAGCATATTGGATTGTTTAGTCAGGAGTATTCTTGGTTGGGAGGCCTGGGAGAGGAGGAGTACCATGAAAGTACAGAGGATAAACATGGGCTGCGGAGGGGCAGGCTTCAGGCCTCAGCCAGCTGGTGACCAGTCTTGGTCAGCTAGATTACCTTGGGCAGAAAGGGATTGGATTTAGCCTTGCAGCTTTGGCCTGTTCCTCTCCTTCCCCCAGGGTTCCAGTCCTTCTTGTATTTCCTTCATGATTCTGGGTGAGGTTCTATCAGAATCACTCTAGCACTCACTTTGCCACATTCTCTCTGAGTGTGCATCTGTTGAAACACTGCAGAGACTTCTTCTGGTCTTTCCGTCCTGAGGGTACCTGAATTCAAAGCGGTTTCCGGGGATTCCTATTGTTCAGATGTTAACATCAGCATGCATTTTGTAATACAATTTTGGGAAATGTAGCATCATGAATTGATACATTTGAACTTTTTTTTCATTTACAAAACCCCAGCTTATTCTCTTATATGTGTGAATTATTGCTTGATATACTTTCCCTGGAAATAGCAAGGCATTAGCTTTTCTAGTAAGTTGTTTGGATATGAATATACTAAGCTGAGTTGGTGAAATTAAAGTAAGTATAAAAATAGATCCTGTATTACAAGAAAGTGTCTTCTATGGGAACTGTCTCTTTCTTTCCCTTCCTTCCTTCCTTCCTTCCTTCCTTCCTTCCTTCCTTCCTTCCTTCCTTCCTTTCTTCTTTCTTTCTTTCTTTCTTTCCCTCCCTCACTTCCTCCATTCCTCCCTTTCTTCATTTGTTCTTCCCTCCCTCCCTTCCTCCTCCCTTCCTCCCTCCCTCCCTCCCTCCCTCCCTCTCTTTCTCTCTCTCTCTCTCTTTCTTTCTTTCTTTCTTTCTTTCTTTCTTTCTTTCTTTCTTTCTTTCTTTCTTTCTTTCTTTCTTTCTTTCTTTCTTCTGAGACAGCTGTAGGATGATCAGCACATAATATCAGCTCATCTCCCTGGGTATGCAGGAATAAACACTGGTTAGGGCATGTCAGACTTTGTTCATAAAGTAGAAGGATGATCTGGATTGAACCAGTGAGAGGCACTTGGAGCAGTCTGAGGTCCTTGTCTCTACGTCTTATTCCCAGAGAACTACAGGTCTAGATCAAACAGTAGCCATGAATGTGAGGTGAAGGTGTCACCACTCTTTGGTTCATGAAATCCACCAGTGCTCAGAGCCCCACAATCTGAGAGGTGATATGTGCAACTCCACCCCTGTCTCATCTGCCAACTGCAGAAGGAAATTGAACCCCAGAGAGTTACGCATAAAGATTTGTTTAAAAAAGTAGGGGGAGGTTGGAGGAGGGATTAGGAAAGATTACAGAGGGGGTGAATTTGATCAAAGTACATTACATGCATGTGGAAACACTACAATGAAGAGCCTTTGTATAGTTAATTTATGCTAATTAGGAAAAGAAACTTGATAGAACCCCTTTTGGTTGTGACAGAAGCCAGGTTTAAATCCAGCCTGACTGGTAGCAGAGGCTGGATTCTGAACTCCCACATCTTTTGTCTCTCACTGATGCAGAAACTATAAATAATATTTTAAAAAGCCCTCATGAAAAGTGAGTTCACCTAGCTTCCCCTAGAAACTTTCTCCTAAAATCTTGTTTACAAAAAAAAAAGAGAAAAAAGGCTACCTAAAAGATCCAGATTAAAAATTTGCCCTTTCTTCTCTTCTTCCTATACATCTAGTTTTAGGCAAACAAGAAAAGCTAGGTCCTAAGATTCTGACATCTGGGTGCAAATTGGGTCTCTCCTCTGTGAGGCTTTAGCAAGAAAGGAAACATATGGTCTCTTTCTGAATCCTTTGATGAGCAAAACCCTGCCACATGAGTGAAATGTTCAAAGCAGTTATCAGAAAATTCAGGTACAGAAGAGACTTCGAGATGAAATATAAGTTTTAAAACAAAATGTCACTAGAACCATAGCAGAGATTTTGAGAGCTTTAACAGAGAATGTATTGAATAACATTCATGGAAATAGTGATTCTGACTTCCAGATGTGAGAAAAAAAATGGTTGCAAATAATGTGAAATTTATGGTGTGGTGTGAGTAGGGTATAAAATATCAGATCTAATATAGTTTAAAACCTCCCCCCCTTCTTTAACCAAAACTCAGAACACATTATAAGCTTCTTATATTTTCCTTATTAGCTATGGATTACAGCCACCAAGCAAGGGGTGAGAGCTGGAACATTCTTTTGGTCTGTGTAAGTCATTTTTGTTTTGTCAATGTTTATAAAATTACAGTTTTGATTCAATGTATGAAACATCACTTCAGTATGTAAAAATATCAAACTTTAGAGTGTTTGCTGATTCTTAATAACTTTCTGGGTATTTTTCTGAGGCCATTTCTCTGTCCATCCTCTCATTTCTTTCTGTCTCTCTTCGTCTTTTCTCTGTCTGTCTGTCTGTCTGTCTCTCTCCTTTTTATTTTACTTGTTAAATGAAGGTTTTCTTTTCTTCTATCATCCTTTACTCTCACCCTTCCTCTTTATGGGATTTTTGTTAACTTGCTATCTTGGGAATGTATATTTCTTTAAGATATTTTAATGTTGTAGCTTGGATGATCATTTTCTATCAACACATTACAACATGCCACCTTTATTTTGGTTCACAGATTTAAAAATCAAGTGTGGTTTCAGGTATCTGGGGAGCGGATGGAGTGGTCTAGAGGTTGGAAGTTCCAGACAGGAGATCTGGGTGGGGAAGCTTCCGTTTGCCCCCCCCCATGTTCCCACCAAACAACCACGACTTCCATAATAGCAAGGGACCATTTCTTACCTCTATAGGAGTGATAGGGGATTAGTAGTCACAATTTGAATTTTTACCTTTTAGAAGTGATAGGAGCTTTGTAGTCAAAGTTTATAAGGCTTAATAAAATTGTTAATATAATAATCAATAAAATGGTTAACACACTGATTCTTTTAAAGGCTCCTTAGTAAAGAAAGGAATATGTTTTACCTTTCATGGAGATTTTTATTCCCACCAAGATGTTCTTTCCATCCTTTTCTTTTTTAACTACCTAAAGCTGTTTCCCTGTTCACCTTTTATACTTTAACAAACATCTGACTATTCTCTAATGGCAGTGTGCTTAGAGCAATCACAGGTTCAGATTAATCCAGAATGGAACCATCTATATTCTCCAAATTTAGAAACAAAGGTAGCTTTTTTCAGATTTGAAGGGCTAAGTTGAAATTGGTTGGATGATTTGAAGCTAAGACAGAGTATGCCTTTAACAGTATTTTTTTAAAAAGAGGTTTCTGAGTTGAGAAATAAGCAAAGATATGTTAGAAATGACACTGCTTAATGTAGGCAGTGTGCTGATTTACTAATTTAATCTTACACATTGCCTTTTAACCCTTGAGGGTCACCAATGCTTATATAGAAGGGATTTTTTTCGACCCTCACAACTCATTTTTTTTTTCTGGCAGAATGGAGAGGAGCCAACAGCATAATTAATACTTAGTCCTCACCCTACCCCCTGAAACTGCTGCAAGGCTTCCTTGAAAAGGCCCCAGTGTTCTGGTTTCAAATGACAATTTTCTCCACCCATTTGAATCCCCTTATAAGAAGCTGGCTTTGTGTGCTCCAAAGATGTCAGGAGTTTTGCTTTGCTTCTCAGACTATTATCTCTATATTCTGGAAGCGACTTATATTCATTTAATTTCTTTCTTCTGTCCCCTCTTGGAACTTTTTATAACTTTAAAAAAATGTGTAATCATACTTCCAGTTGGCTAAGAACATCCATGCCTAGGAAATCTACAGAGTAAATGCTGAAAAAAAATTGAAATTTAAAACTAGATCCAAACTCTAGTCTTATATTTTGCAGACCATCATTTTTAGTGTGGTTTTAGATGGCAAGCAAGAATTATATTCTTGTTTTTAAATGACAGTACTTTATTCCAGTCATTTTCAGTGGATGCGCTATAACTTTCTTTACCTGAATTACCCTCAGTTCACATGCAAAGGCTGTGATGCTCAGTTATGAGTGTTTAGATTCAATCTAGTCTGGGTCTGCTGCTCATGAGAGTACTGACCTTGGAAAAGTGATTTAATCACTCGACAAACCAGTGACCTCATTGCAGTACCTTCATCAAAGAGTACTGTAAAACAGAGTTAGTTATTATTTGTTTATTATGGGTATTTATTTTTAAATTATTTATAATTTATTATTTAATATGCTCTTAGGGCACTTGATACACAGAGAACAGCCAATTCATGGTATTTTTTTTAAATTTACATTTCTTTCAACATTGACTAAAGAATGTCTATATATCCTAAGGTAATTTGTTCCCTGTTGTCACTAAATACTTTACCTAGTTCTTCTTTTCCCCCTTTTTCTGAGGACATCTTGATAAGTTTCACATCAGTCAGGTGGTAGACATAGTGATGTGGACTGATTTTTTTTTTTTTTTTTAGCCTGCACCCTGCCTTCCTTGGGTCAAATTTATTTGTGTTGTCTCTAAATAGTATCCGAAGCATTTATGTCTAATGTGCATGTCATTTTAATCTGTGAGATTATTTCATGAAGGTACGTAGGATTCCTAGGAATCTTATTGACTACCTTTTCTAACTCCTCATTTCAAAGATTAGAAAACTAAGACCCTGAGTAGTTTAAAAGTGTTTAAGGGTTCATAGCTAGGGGACACTCAGACCTCCTCTGCATCTTATTACAAAATCCACACACACACACACACACACACACACACACACACACACACACACACACACACACACACACACACACACACACACACTCCACCCCTGCCCACCACCTGCTTATTGTCCACAAGAAGAGGAGAGATATTTCCACATCAGAGTCCTTTTGGTGAAAGTATCTCAAATCTTTTATTTGTGTTTACAAACATACTTGGAATGCAAACACCTGCATAAATGGATCATCTTTGTCGGTCTATAAATCTTGCACATGATGGTAAAAGCGAGCATTTTTCTAAACTCCCTCTATGTACAAGGTATCATAGTAAGCACTTTACATGTATAATCTCTCTTTAATTTTTGCAAGTCTTGTGAGTAGGTGCCATTATTATCATTTTACAGAGGCACAAAATGGGAGACTTGTCAAAGTCTCACTATCCACACCATCTGCAGGACCCAGCATTGATACCCAAGCATCTTGCCTCTGAGCTGATGTCTTTAATTCTCTATTAAGTATTCTGTTCATCAAAGGTGTTAAAGGAAGGGCATTCTGACCTAGAGACAAATTTTATTCACTTGTATTTTCCCATTAGCATTAGGAGTGGGTTCATCAGAGTCCATACTTGAAGCTTAACAAAACCTATCAGCAGCTTTCAAGTAGATAGAGATAGAAGGTTAAAATGAAAAGGCTACAGCATTGTTGGGTTTTTATAAGTTAGGAAAGAATTCAAGATATGCAATTCTAATTATTGTATTCAGATAGAAAGGAATTTCTAAGGCTGGAGAATTAAATTCCAGAAGCAATTAATCTGGCTTTGGTAGGCCTATTCCTAATTCAATAATAGGATATAATAAACAGGGTCATGTTTATTCAGTAACAGTGGAATAAGTCTTCATCAGTACTCACTTCATGGTGAACATGACGCTGTGGTCTTATATTACAGCTCTAGGTGGGAAGGATGCAATGAGAAATCTGCAAGGAGAAAGAGATGGAGCTGGCGTGAGGAGTGGGGTGGAGACGGAGCTTCTGCCAGCTCTAGCTGTATACCACAGCTCCGAGGACTTAGCGTTCTTCTAGCTCTCTTATGTCTAGCAAGAGTAAAGCTATAAAGAGCTCACCCAGCGTCCCCCAATGGTCCTTCTTTACCATCATCAAGCTTGTGTTTGAATTCATTCTAAACTTGTCTGTAATGTCTGATCTTGTGTGGGAGAGCAGAAAAGCATCTTGTGGTTTTTTTTTTTTTTTTTTAAAGAAAGAGTGAACAAAATAGCATAATGAAACCCACCAAAAACTTTTTTAAAAAAAGAGGAAGGAAGAGTAAGAAACATTAAGAAGATTATACTGTTTGGAGAGGCTATATTAGTTAAGCAATATTCACCAGTTTGGTTTAGTATAGAATAGTTCAGTCCTGGGAAAATTTTTCTTTTTTTTAATCGGTCGTGGGGCTTGAACTCTGGGCCTGGGCGCTACCCCTCAGCTCTTCAGCTCAAGGCAAGTGCTCTACTACTTGAGCCACATCGCCACTTTCAGTTTTCTAGTGGTTTATTGGAGATAGCAGGGAATTTCCTGCCCAGGCTGGCTTTGAACTGAGATTCTCAGATCTCAGCCTCCTGAGTAGCTAGGATTACAGGCATGAGCCACCGGTGCCTGGCCAAGATTTTTTTTAATTTTAATTTTTTGCCAGTCCTGTGGCTTGAACTCAGGGTCTGGGCACTATCCCTCAGCTTCTTTTGCTGAAGGCTTACTTTCTACCACTTGAGCCACAATGCCTCTCCTGGCTTTTTCTGCTTCTGGGGAACTGAGGAATCGAACCCAGGGCTTCATGCCTGCTAGGCAAGCACTTGACCACCAAGCCAGATTCCCAACCCTGGAAAGTTTTTTTATTAGATAAATTTTGACTTAGTCATTTGTGCTGTGAAAGCATCATCACATTCAAGAGGACAAACCTATCCATCACATTTATTCATTCATTCATTTTTCTGGAATACATTTGATCCACATACAAGATATACATGTTTTAAATATTGTCATGAAGCCCCTATGTACAATTAATGTATGCTAATAGAAAACAAAAAACATAAAATTTCCCACCAGTATAATATTGCTTGCCCTGGAGTATCCTAATGTCAATCAACCCAGGATGCAGTACTGTTATGGTAGTGCCCATGCCAGGCTTAGGGTAATTATATTCCAACTGAGGAATGAGAATTGAACACAAAAGTCATTGTAGAGGAAGATTATACCCTTTTGTTCAGTCTCATAATTACATGTGCCCGTTCTTGATAGATTTTTATAGAGCTAGAAGAGAATTTCAAGAATACCTTCTTTAACTCATTATTTTATAGAGGAGGAACGTAAAGATTAAGGTTAGATAATTTTTTTAAAGTTATGGGTTTTTGGAGGCAGAATAATATGATCATTATGACTTTTAATAAAATGAGGTATTTTTTTAATTACTAGTCGGTATGCATGCCCCTTAGTTGACTAATTTTATGTTGTCTTTGCCACCAAGCCAGGTAGTGTACTTTTACTGTTCTCTTTATTTTACTGATGAGGGAGCTGAAGCTGAAGGAGGTCAAAGTTTAGAGGTTAACAGACATGACACTGCCAACAAGAGGCAGATTAAGGATGGATGTTCTGTTGTGTCTTCTACAAAGCCATTGGCAGACCCACAAAACCACAGCCATTCTGAAGTCAGGATCCCTTCTGCTTATAGTGGCGCCTCTGATCAACAAGAACAGGTTCTTTATTTTGACCATGAATCAGAATTTCCAGTCTAGTTTTCTCTGGAAGGAGTTGAGCAATCTCCTATATTGCAAATGCAAATAGAAGTTTAAACACTAATTCCAAAGGAGGTTTTTTACTACAATGAAATGAAAACAGATGGTGGTAAATAAAGAGCATTTGGCCAGGGAGCAAAAAGCAAAACTCGTCAAGCCTGAGTTTGTGGAAATGCAACCTAATAACATGCTTTGCTTGTTGTGACCCTGCAGTTCCATCCCACACGAGCGGAGAATATTAACCATCCTGCAGTGGCTGACGCTGCCAGACAATGAGAGGTATTTGTTCTCTCTTCTTTCTTCAGTATATTTCCACCATAGGTTAGAGTTGGGTGAAAAGTTAAATGGACTGTAAAATAGAAGCACAGCCAAGGTTTGGTGTTATGAAAAGTTTGGTGGTTATTAGTCTTAAGCATTGTTTCCCTAAGAAGGCTCTGGTTATTGTGAACCATTTAATTGCATGGATTACTACAACTGGTAATCCTGGCCACTGCAGAAGAGCTGAAGAGACTTTTTGGCTTTAATAAATGAACGATCAGCATTTCAAGGATTGGAGAGCATTACAACTCACTTTCCACCTGAATAAAGATAGTTCTTTCAGGCTGCAGATTTTATGGCCCAGACAAACTATCCCTAGGCTCTGTTGCCTTGAAAAATCAAAAGTCTGAATACATTTTTAAATTTCCTTTTGTGACTTTTGATTCCAGGAAGGGGTACAGGAAGAGTAGAGGTAGTAGACAGAAGGAATGGGCATGGAAAAAGAGAAACTTTCCACGGTAATACCAACAGATGGGAGATTAACTAAACTTGAGGGATTTTTTTTTAATGTGTAGGGATATTTGATATTTTTTTGTTACATGTGGTCTGGTGAGATTCTGAACCTGCCAATTTCTCCATAGGCCTTCAGTCTATGCTTTCTATTCTGAGCAACCGGATTTCTCTGGACACAAATATGGTCCCTTTGGCCCTGAGGTTAGTGATTTATCATCTGTCTGAGGAGAACCTGTGTACCGGGGGACTAACTGATCTGATCTTATTTCAGGATCTGTACAAAGTCTTTGAGAATGTTTGTATCTACGAGGTTGACACACAGTCTAATAATTATAAAGCTAAAAATATATGTAAAAATGGTAAAGGTACTTGTTTCTATTATAGGAACTCCATCTCAGTTTGCTTTGATAAGCAAAACATAGCCTAAATTTGGGATCAATTCAGGGGTGTAAGGGGAGCATGGCAGCCTTGCTGCCATCTGTCCTGAGGTGAAGGATTCAGAGAGGGTGGCATTGGCCATCAGCTAAAAGCAATCACCAGACAAAACCTTCAGTACCAGACTATAAACTCAGTATCAGCCCCCTTAAAATGATGATGCAGTTTGAAGAGATAGATTAGTTAAGCAATAGTCGTCTCTTTGGTTTGGTAAATTTTGATTTAGTCACTTAGCCTCTCAAAGCATTATCACATTCAAGAGCATGAGTCTATCCATCACATGAATTCATTCATTTTCTGTGCAGTGCTGGGGCCTTGTTCTCTCACTTGGCATTCTGGTGCTCTACTACTCGAACCACATCTCTACTTCCCCTTGATGCTTATTAATTGGAGATTAAAAATCTCACTGACTTTCCTTCCCAGACTGACTTCTAATCTCAATCCTCAGATCTCAGTCTCCTGAGTATTTAGGATTGCAGGCTTGAGCCACCAGTACTTGCCTTATCTGTCACTTCTAAAAGTAAAAATAAATCTGTGATGGAGAGAAACATATACTTGGATGAATCCTCTTTGCAGGGCTGTATGACATATTTCTTTTTATTATATGCTCAGCATCATAGTAGAAGACAATCTGTTTGTAAGGTAGGAGCCAATATAACTTCATACTCAGAAGATGTGGAAGTAATGGCTGTATTTCATTATATTTGTCTTTCATCTTGGATGGAAATCTTCCTAGCATTTCAACATAGATCCTTTTAAAATATGATGAAGCCTACCAGTCTTAACTTCTAATTTTAAAAAGTTTTTTTTCACTTTTCTTCCATGACAGGGATAATGGGGTCTATATTAATAAAATAAGATCGTGATTTCAGCTGAGAAATTATTTTAAAAAAAAATCTCTTTCCTGATGGATGCTGTCTCTAATTCTCCAATAACCTATGATAACAATGTTGCCTGAACTCTCCTTTAGCAGAAGGATGAGTTATACACGTTGATAAACGTATCTAGGTATAACTATTTTTGGCTAAATTTTAGCATGTCTAAACAAAGACAATAGATGCGATGGATTCATAAGGATTTCTGAATGCTTTAACATTTAATTCAGTGGTTGGTGATTTTTTTAAGTACTCCAAACCAATAGATATGTGAAACCATTCTTAGTTTGTCTTAAATCACTGAGGTCCTATAAATCCAAGGCTCTTTTCCTCTCCCTTTGATGTTTAACCAGGGTTGCATGATTATGAAACACCAATGATAAAACAAGATAAACATCTGCACACAAGAAACACAAATCTTATTTTGCCAGGAAGAAAACCAAAGCAAGAATGGCTGTTTTATCTTTAGGATGACTCTCTTTGAGATTAATCTTTTAAAGTGAACAAAAGGAACCACATTTTATTAAAATGTAAAAAAAAAAAAAGATCCCCACAGAACACCTAAAGCAGTTCCATGTGCTCTTTGTAAAAGTTCAACTTTGCTAGAATAATAGCTCTTAAGAGATCCTGAGGGGAGACAGAAAAGAAATTGGTATTGGCTTTAGTTTTTTTTTTTTTTAAACTAAAGGCTGGGTGTTGATTCAGATGCATTGTATGCATAAACTGACACTTTGACTTGAAACCCCTTAGCACAACTACATAAAGATCATGATAACAAAACAACAACAAAACTAAAGACTGACACTTGAAAAACTGTGGGGCTGCGCTAGCTGCTCAGAACTTCTGATCCGCAGATTACAATCCTTCCAATAAAAACATTTAAACCTCCTTCAGCCCAGAGAATAAGCGAAGTAGTCCATGAAGAACTATGCTCAAATCACATACAGCATTTTGTTTTCTTTATGACCAAAGTTGGCTTTTAACAACACAGATGAGGTATAATTTGCCTTATACCTTAAGTTATAGGGCTTCATAATAACCGTTTTTTTTTAATCAAGAGCATCTCTAGATTAGCTATTGAAAGTCTATATATATGTTATAATTAAGAAACCATGTTTTAAATAAATACTATACAATGAATAAATGCAGTACAATACAGAGTGCTTTAATGAGTTGTTATACCAGTTTCTATGTTCTGGGATGCTCACTTACTAAAAGTAGTTTTGAATTAAAGGTTGAATTTTCCAAGTTTTATGTTATGTTCTTTTGTGTTGCTGTTGTTGGCTGTTGGGCTTGAACTCAGGGCTTAGAGACTGTTTCTGAGCCTCTTTGTGCTCAAGGCTAACACTCTGCCACTTGAGCCACAATGCCACTTCTGGTTTTTGAGATAATTGGAGAAAAGAGTCTCACAGAGACTCGAAGCCTGGGCTGGCTTCAAACTGGGAGCCTCAGATCTCAGTCTCCTGAGTAGCTAGGATTACAGGCGTGAGCCACCAGCACCCGGTCTTTTATGTTCTTTTTAGTACTAATACTTCTTGCAACAGGAATTTTGTCATATAACTAGCATGTAAATACTCTGAATTTATTTTCAGAGTATTTGTAAAGGAATTTATTTGTAAAGGAATGGATAGCTTCAGATTTCAACTAGTTCTCATCCTGATCTAGAGAACTTTTTTACCCTAAAATCAAACCAAATGAAATAGTTTACTTTTTAAAATATATGTGTGTGGCCATCCTGGGGCCTGGGCACTGTTACTGAGCTTCTTTTGCTCAAAGCTAGCACTCTACCACTTGATCCAAAGCTCCACTTCCAACATTTTTGATAGCTAATTGGAGATAAGCATTTCATGGACTTCCTGCCTGGGCTGGCTTTGAACCATGATCCTCAGATCTCCGCCTCCTGAGTAACTAGGATTACAAGTTGAGCCGCCAGTGCCCAGCTAAAATAATTTATACTATAAAACTAAAGCAAACCAGCAAAACCTGTCTTCTCTCACAGACTAAGTGACTTACATGCATAGATAGCCTACATCATCATGTACTTTCTCTTTATTAACTAAATTAAATTGTTGTGTTACTAATTTAAAATATTCACTCATTTTCATGAAATGGCCAGAAGAGGATGGAAATTGAAGAAAAAATGATGAAGAATCTCCATGATCCTTAACTCGGTGCATTTTATTGTGCAAAAAGATTATACATACGAGGTCAAGGATAAGTCTAAAAACTAGCAACATGTTGTCTTTGACATGTCATGAAAGATAACTTATATCTGAAATTCCACTGAAATGTGTCTAGCATGTTATAGTAAGATGAATACATTTGAAGTTTATGCTTGATTTGCTTAATCTTTGAGTACTTTCTTTTCAGGATGAGTCTCAAAAGTTTTTAAGTGAGATGACCAAATATGGGGCTTCAAGAACTGGTATATAGCTCCTGGTTTCATAGTGTAATGGTGAATGTTCAAAAATATGCTTGCTTTTTATCATTGGCACAATCTTCTCTTTGACTTTCTATGCTTTCTCTGTGACCTCTTGTTCGGCTGTTCTTCTGGGTCCAGAGGCAGAGCTTTGGCTGGCTAGCCCCTATCTTTAGATGGCAAAGAACCCTTCTGAAAAGCAGGGAAATTTCGCCACTTGGTCTCCCATCCTCTTAATAACCTCAGGCTTAAACCTCTAAAATCAGGCTACAGTATGGCTTGTCAGTGAAAATACATGCATTTATAATCTACTGGATGAAAACTCAGTTTGCCTAAACCCTGTTACTTCTGTGCCTCTAACCTGCTGTAATCTGAAAGGCTCGCCCGGGGAGCATTTGGAATGTTGAAGTTTCTTGCAAGTGGCCTAGTGTTTAATGGGCAGATCTGAGCACTAGCAGAATGGACTTGGTGACCATGAAATGGGAAAATTCCTCTTTTTTTTTGCTTTTCTTGCTCATGAAGTTTTGCCTAAAACTAGAAGTATTCAAACCAAACCAAAGTCTATGGGGCTGAGTCTTCTGATGGCTTGGCCGGAGAAAGAGGTTGAGACAGAAACAGAGCAGTCCTTGGCAATTGCTTGCCCTGGAAACAGTGCAACCGCATGGCAGAAATTCCGCATGGCATCCGTCGTGGATGCACTAACATGGTTCTCCTCCTGCCCCTGCCTGCATCCCAATGGCTCTTGGAACAGCCCTACCAAGAGAGGCAGCAGCTAGACAGACAGCAAGGCTTGCTGCTTGAATTCACCTTTGCACCATCAACAAATCAGGGGCGGTGTTATTTATTTATTTATTTTTGTCTCCGGCATTTGGAGTTCTCCAACTCAGTTTTTACATGAGATTTTACCCTCTGGATTTTTCAAAAAACTTATGGCGCCCTCATTCTACCAAATAGAAGGGTGTCAGATAGCAAGGGGACACGTAGGGCCTTTGGTGACTTATGTACCATGATGAAGAGATCCTGATGGCTTTCCACAATATACATTAGAGTTCCTCTGTACTGGAAGGTTCTCTTGTCAGCAAGAAGAGCAGTCTCCTGCTGAAAGACCTAATTTGTGCATGGACCAAGGAGGGATGCATATTATTTATTTTATTCCATCCTTGGTTTTACGTCCTCCCCCCACCATAATCCTTGTCCACAAAGGTGACAGTGCTCTCTGATATATTTGATAATGTGAACAAAGAGCTCTCCTTCAGTTTCTGCAGTAGAACCACCCATACAACTGCTGATGATCAAGGGTCTAGTATTCTGTTTAGTTGTCAGCTAGTAGTCAATACATGGAGTGCTTTTCATAACCTAGGACTAGCCAGAAAAGCAGGAATTACAGAATACAGAACTTCTGTAATGTCACCTCAGTGTAACCACAGCAGGTTTCTTAGCTGCAAGAAGCTCACAGGCCAGGACTCACTTAGAAGGTTTCTCGCTACAGAGATCCTTGAGTATCCTCTCATTCTTGCTGAAAGAACCTTAGCTTTTCAAAGGCTCTGCTGACCCTAGATGGGAAAGTATGAGCTTTATCACATGACCTAGAGGGACAGACGACTTCTGAGTCCAGACATCTCTATCCGCCAGTACAGGAGAGTAGTTATGGTTCACCTCTTACTCCGCCTAAGAGACCTAAGAGGAAAGTTGCCCCTAAGAGGAGACAGGAAAGACCAGTTGCTCCTCCAAAGAAAAGAAGAAGAAAATTACATAGGATGGATCATTATACAGCGGAAACTCGTCAGGACAAAGTAAGTTTTATCTATTGTTCCAAAGCTTTATGGTGGGCAGGTTGGAGTTGAAGATTTCCTTTCCGTACTTTGGTCTGATAAGTACTTTTGGCTAGATAAGTGGTAGAAAAAACTTGCGTGCATTGTCCTTGGCCTGGACTCCAGGAACATCTGGTACTAAAGAGGTTTTATATGATGCGCAAAAATCCTGAACTTCTGGCACAATAGAAAGAAGGAGGTGTTTAATTTCTTTAGGGTTTGTTGACCCACACTAGTATTGGCATTTAGCTTAGAGTGACTCTTAAAAGGCCTACTGGTTTTACTCATAATTTCACACAGAAGCAGTCATGATGGTTTTATTGGTGTTGGTTTTGAGAATAACCCACAGGTAGTGTGGCCACCCTTAAAGCAATGTGGATTAGAACTCAATACAAAGTTGACTTAGGCTAGAGGTCTATACTTTCACAGATTAGAATGGGGCTTGGAGTAGGGACAAGAGAATAAATAGATAAGATCTGGAAAAATAATTAGCAGATAGAGGTGTATATGTTTTCTCCTAATGGCATGGGTCATGTTTACTCTTTCCAGTACTTTCCAAGGCGCCTTTGGTTGTTACTCTTCTTGAGACCTTCAAATGCTTGTGAGCTGGTGCCTTATGAATGTCTGAACTCATCCCTGAGGAGCAGGTTCTCAGTTTTACCTGGTTGTCTTGCTGAGTAATGGAAAAGTCAGTACCGAGAGTTGACATGTGTTATTCATTTTGACTTCTTTGTCTAGACCAGGATATTGTAGGAGAGCATGGTTTTCTCCGAAAATAAATACAACTTAGTTCCACATCTGTTACTTCCTTCTAATGACACTATCTCATTCTGACGTTTTTAAAGTTGTCACTTGCTCCTTGGGATAGAATTTAAAATCTATCTAAAGAAAAAAGAAGTTGCCACCTGATTTCTCTGATGGAATGAATAATCTGAGGTGATGTTAATGGCAGCTAATAGTATGCATCTGAGTAAAAATGATATTCATATCTCTTCTGGTATTAGCTGTGTTGGAGGGATTTCTGTGGTTGTTAGCACAGCTGTAGAACTCATTTCAAGTGCTATCAAGTGTTTGTTCCATTATGAGGTTTGTTCAAATCTTTCCCCTGCACAGTTAGAGAGGAGGTTGAGAAGGGGGTATGTAGATGGGACACTTGTGTTAGAGGCTTCTATTTGAAGAAAGATGAGAGCTGGGTTTTTATTTCTTAAGCTTTGAAAGTTGTTTTTCAGAAAAGTCAGTTTTTGTATTTCATTAGACTTAAATAAGAAGCCTTCCAGAACAAACCCAGTAGTTCATTTTTTTTTAAAGATTCTTATCTCACTCAAAATCAGATGGAAAAATAATTTGAGGACTAGTAGCTGGTTCCTTCCATTCGTAATCTATTGCCCTTAGAAGTTGACAGGTTAAGTTCTTTGGAGTATGGAATGAATCCTGGGCCATCTACGATGTTGTGATTTATGACCCAGTGCAAGGTCACATGATTTGACCCTCGGAACTGCCTTTGATTCACAGAGCTCATCCTCTTACCATAGTCCACAGTCTGATGTGATTTTCCATGGGGAGAAGGCCCTGAAATTCTCTGGTTGACTTCCTGTTTATCCTCACAACTCTCGCTTTTACAGCACGGTGTTACATTTGAGAAAAATAATTTAATTTCCAAATCGGATTTTTTCTTAGTAATACTTGTGATCTTTTTATATCAAAAACTCTTGAAAGGGATTGGATGAGAGATGTTAATGCTTTTGAAAGAATAAAGTACTTACATCTGATTTCCACATATACACAAACTAATGAAGACAGAGTAATCATCCCTAGACAAAGCTCTGCCTCTGGGCCTAAAGTTTTCTTTCCAGAATGCTCTGAGGGTAGAAGATCTGTGGAAACGGAAAGGTAAAAATAAATAAACAAGTAAGTAAAAATGGAAAGCAACAAAAAAAAACCTGAGAGGACAAAGTTGTTCTCTCTTCCAGATGACAAATCCTCTGAGGGAAATTGACAAAACCATGGGCCAATTAATGGATGGGCTGAAACAACTCAAGCTGCATCGGTGTGTAAACGTCATCTTTGTTGGAGATCACGGTAAAGCTGTATTTCTTTCTTTGCTAATAAGATAAATAGATATTTCTGAAAGTATTGAGGACAGGAACCTTTTCCTTCAGAATTCAAGGTTCTGTTCTTTGGTTGTCGTGTGTGTGTGTGTGTGTGTGTGTGTGTGTGTGTGTGTGTGTGTGTATGTCCCCATTCACACATGTGTGTGTGGCTTGGCTGGCATTCTATCACTTGAGCCATATCTCCAGCCCATCTTTTGGCTGGTTATTTTGGAGATGGAATCTCTCAGACTTTCCATCCAAGCTGGGTTTGAATTTTGATTCTCTGGATCTCAGCCTCCTACGTAGCTAGGATTATAGGTGGTAGACACTGACATCTGGATCAAGGTTCTATTCTTTACTTCCTCTTCCCCATCTTCAGGATAAGGAAAAAATAGGTCATGATTCAAAAGTATGAGAGAACTCAAGCTGGAGGCATGGACAGAGTGAAAGTGATAAAGTGAATGTGTAACTCGTGCCGACAAAAAAAAAACAAAACCAAAAACAAGACCAAACAACAACAAAAAAACCTAAAAACCCAAACCAAACAAATGAAAAAAAAGTCCTACCAAGACAAATAAAAACCATCAAGCAAAAAAGCTAACAAATGTATGAGAGAACCTGCAATGACCTGCTGTCTTTGAATTGAAAATAGGGACGCCTATATGGCCGCATTCTTTTCAGGAAAGTCCTTTTTACAGGAAAAAATATGTTCCTTATGTGATGTAGACTATTCCTTTTTGATTAATGACTTCCTCTGTGAATCTAACACATCAGATGATAATCATCCATTCCTCGGAACCATACCTCAAGAGTCCACAGAGTTTGTGTGGTTGAAAAATAAATTTAAATATGATAAGGTGATGGAAACATAGAGTTCTTGTCAAACATATGATGTGTAAGTCAAATGCTTTCTCATAATTTACTGAAGTAATTCAGGGCAAAACCAGAGGGTCTGCTGCACTGCAGAAGACTGAGAATGAGGAAGGAACAACAGCAAATGGCTTTTATTAAAAATAAATGTTTGCGTGTGGTTTAGGCCAACCTAGAACTCTAGAACTTTAATGCCCAGCCTGGCATTAAACTCACAGTCCTGTTGCCTCTTCATACCTCCCGCCCTCCTTCCCTTCTTTCTTTTCCTTCCTTTCTTCCTTTCTTTCTTTCTCTCTCTCTCTCTCTTTCTTTCTTACTTTCTTTCTTTCTTTCTTTCTTTCTCTCTCTCTCTCTCTTTCTTTCCTTTCTTCCTTCCTTCCTCCCTCTCTCTGTCCCTACATCTCTTCGTCTTCTTCTCCCCCCCCTCTTTCTTCTTCTTTTTTTTTTGGAGGGGGTCCGGTTGTGGGGCCTGAAGTCTGGGCCTGGGCGCTGTCCCGCAGCTCTTCAGCTCAAGGCTAGTGCTCTACCACTTGAACCACAGCGCCACTTCTGGCTTTTTTTCTTCTTGCTTATGTGGTGCTGAGGAATCGAACCCAGGGCCTCAGGCATGCAAGGCGAGCGCTCTGCCACTGAGCCACCTTCCCAGCCCCTCTTCTTTCTTTATTGAGAGGCAGGATTTCTTCACATGGATCAGACTCATTTTGAATTTACATCTTTCTGCATCTGACTTCTGTGTTTGGGGATGATACGGTACACTACCATACTTGGCTATGAAATGTATTTTCTGAATCACTTAATAAAGTAGAGGAAACTCATAAGTACTTCTTTTTGAGGTGATGAAGAACATCATGAACATTTTGTGATCATAGAGCTGATATGGCTTCTTAGAGCATTCTTATTTCACGGGCATGTTGACTGATTTTAGTAAGTGCCTGCTGTATTCTGGAACTATACAATTAAAATAATGGTCTTAGAATTTAGGTGGGCTCCGTTCAAGTGCAGTTTGAACGATGCAAAGAATTGATTTTTTGGTAGTTTTGCTCTGCATAACTGGTGAGTCTCCCTAGTCATACCTCCACATCTGGAGTTTTCTGTCCGGAATGTTCCAGAAGATCTAGGAGAAACTAAAAGATAAAGAAAAACCAAGTTGCCCCTGGCAACTAACTTGCTCCTCAGAGGGGACTTTATATTACCCTCTGTAAAATCCAACTCCATGAGTTTGGTTCAGTGGAGAGCTGTAGAGAGGGTGGGGAATGTGGAGGATATGACACGGCTGATTCAATTTAAGCTGCCCAGAAGTGTGGACAGCATTTGCTTATATGGGAGGCAGACATCTAAGAAATCGATGGTGCCAGGGAGTCGCATGCTGAAGCACTAACGATCATGAACAGATTAAAGCACTTGCTCAGTGTGCAGGCGTCTAGGGCCATTTTGTTCCCGCAAGGCACCACATCCCTTTCTTAAACACTGCCATGGCCTTTTCAGAGCTGAGACTTTGAGGTCAATAGGCATTTCAATGGAGCTCTTAAATTATATGATACTTCAGAGCCCTGTATATGTTATGTAGCCTGAGTATGAACTCACTCATCTGTACTACAAGAAGCTATTTCCACCCAGTCAAAGTTGTTGTGGCAGAGAAGTGGGTAGTGATACTGGAGAAGCCATCATCAAACTTCTTTGATGGTGTCTAAAAGTAAGGGAGATTGCTCACCATTGGAGTAGCAGAAGTGCCTGTCTTAGGAATGTAACAATTGGGAGACCTTTCTAGTCTCCCATTCCTAATTATTTGAAGACATTCCTTTCCTGTGATATCATTGTGCTAGAACACAGTAGCTGTTGATTAGTTTAATTTTTCTTCCTGAGAGCTTCCATGTTAAAAGATAAGACCTATATATCCTTTGTTCTATGTTAGAATATGTTTTTCTTGCTCTCCATGCCAAATTATATTTTATAAAAAGTGTAGGGGATATGGATCTAGAATCCTAAGGAATGATAATTCATATTTTACCAGATCTGGGTTACTCTGGATTATAGATGGGTTTTTTGGTTTGTTTTGTGCTGGTCTTAGGACTTGAAGTCAAGGCCTGAGTACTGTCCTTGAGCTCAAGGATAGTGCTCTATCTCTTGAGCCACAGCTTTATCTGGCTTTTTTGGGTAGTTTATTGGAGATAAGTCTCACAGACTTTCCTGTCCCAGTCTGGCTTTGAACCAAGATCCTCATCTCTCACCTCCTGAATATCTAGGATTACAGGCATGAACCACTGGTGCTTAGCTTATAGTTCTTCAGTATAAGACCTTAGGCATTCTTGTCTTCTCTCTTAGAGAATATGCTTATGTCAGATTGTGCTGAATGAACCAGTAGCCAAAGGTGCTATTTCTAAGATCCAAAGTGGATGCTTGAGACTGAGGACAGAACGGAACCTTATATACCAGGCATACCCCAATGCACACATAATTATAATAAAGTCCATTTCTTACCTTTTCTAACTTATCTAATTTATAAATCTAATTTATAAATGAGCAACAACAAATAGTAAAAAAAATCAAACAGTGGTAAGAATATACTATAATAAAAGTTACATGAATGTGGCTGGGTTTCTTTCTTTCTTTCAACTGCCGGGAAGTTGGTAGCACAGCGATTGTGGATACACTAGATATTCTGGGTAGGATGGAGCAGGAGAGCATGCAATTTCATCACACTATTCAGGATGGCAATTTAAAACTTATCAATTGTTTATTTCTAGAATTTCCCATTAGTATTTTTGAACCATTATTGAGCATGGATAACCAAAACTATAGAGAGATTTGGGGTTGAGAGAGGGTAGCTACTGTGTATTAAAATATTAAATCTTCATAGTTCCATGCCATTTTATAAATCCCCAAATGACAATAAAAGCTTCAACTAGCTGCTGTAATCTGTGTTTCTAAGACGAGATTGTTTTGATTTTGATTAGTTTTCACAATAATGATTAAGACATTTTCCTTAATGGAGGGCAGAAAGCAAATTTTGGGGTGGGAGAGGAACATTGGTTGGTTGAAAGAAAAAATCCGTATCTAGACTCTTTCTATGTGCTAGTTGCTAGCTTTCAGTTCTGACTAAATCCATTGTTTATAGTGTGTTTGGAGCATTATTTTGTTATTTCAGTTTGGGTGGTCACTGGAACTGACATTTTTCTTTCTCATTATTTGCTGCCAGTATTGTTTTTTCAATAACATCCAAGACCACCATCAGAGACAGAGTAAGAACTGGTGATTATATACTCAAGATAGGAACTATATGAGAGGGGAAGGAGGAACAGAGAGAGAGAGAGAGAGAGAGATGGAGAGAGGGAGAGAGAGAGCATGCTGAATATGACATTTCGTAAAAGCGATGAAGAGAAGGACGAATTGTATGTTCTAGTTATTTATACCACCTCCAGCTGGGAAGCAATCTGAACAATTTTTGAACAAGTGATCTTTTTCATAACAACTATAAATATTTTCTTCCTTTGTCATGCTGTTCTTGCTCATTAATTTAAAATGATCATTGACATGATACATTTTTCAGCCTCATAGTGCTTATAAGATGATATGGCGGGGCTGGGAAGATGGCTCAGTGGTAAAGTGCTTGCCTTGCATGCCTGAGGCCCTGGGTTCGATTCCTCAGCACCACATAAGCAAAAAGAAAAAAACCAGAAATGGCGCTGTGGCTCAAGTGGTAGAGCGCTAGCCTTGAGCTGAAGAGCTGAGGGACAGCGCCCAGGCCCAGAGTTCAGGCCCCACGACCGGACACCCCCACCCCCACCAAGAAAAAGTTGATATGGCTAAGTCAAAGTCTGGTGAAAGTTGTATAAAGAATTATTCAAAAACTTAAAAGTTGGGCTGGGATGTAGCTCAGGGGCAAAGCGCTTGCCTAGTAAGTGCAACGTCCTGGGTTCGATCCCCAGTACCAAAAAAGAAAAGACAAAAAAAAATACAGTTAACAAAAACCCCTAAAAGTCAAGAAATTAAGTAATATCAAATGTGAAGCTTCCTTCCATGAAGTTGTTAAAAATCAATTAGAGTGATGTGTTGATGTCTTCTTCAAAGTCTATGCAAAGGTTTTATGATTTTAATTTTAATATTGCCTAAAAATACTTATTTTTCCTTCTCTCCATAGGCATGGAAGATGTCACATGTGATCGAACTGAATTCTTGAGCAATTATCTGACTAATGTGGATGATATTACTTTAGTGCCTGGAACTCTGGGAAGAATTCGACCCAAATTTAGCAATAACGCTAAATGTAAGTTATTGCTTCTTAAAATATTAAGTGGTTAGAGTGATAATTACAATGGGAGAGGTACAGGCCTGTTCTCTGAAGCTAAAATACTTGGGTTATAAATCCTAATTGTCCTAATTGCTTAGCCAACTAATCCTGAATAAGTCACTTCAACTCTCAAGTGATCATTTCTTCACCTGAAAAAAACAGACCTGATAAAAGACAGTAGCTACCTCAGAGGATTGTAGTGGAAATTTATGCATATTGTTTAGAGTGGTTGCTGGCAGCGGATAGTATTTATAAACATTTGCTCTTGTTTTTACTGTGTGGAAATTGCACTTAATTCGGGACATGTTTATAACTATAAACTTCTGTTTACAAGAGGAGAATTTTTCACCATCATGTTCAGGCTAGCCCCTTAGTTGAAACTAGAGAGCCTCAAATAGGGTAGGCTAAACTACTTTGGTACCCTGAAAGTTCACTGGAACCTAGGGAAAGAGGGCTTTTCCCTTTTATTCAAGTAATTTGAAACACCCTGGAGGGAAAAATGTCAAGCCCTTAGGGATTGGCAACTCTTCCAAAAGATGAGAAACAAAACAAACAGGAATAATCTTGTCACTTAGGTTTTACATGTTCATGTTATGCTATGCTACTTTTTCATTTCATATACTAAGATTTTTAAGTGCTGCTCACTTTGGTTTTGGGAAGTGCACAGTTTTGAAATATGCTGCATTTCAGAAAAAAAAAAAAAACTTTTTCAGTGGTTTTTAGCCTTGGGAATAAGAGACCATTGACACCAAGCTCAAAGCTTTGGAAAATTAAAGTCCCCCCCCGCACCTCAAATGATGTTCTTGTGTGAACATAAATGGGAAATGTTCCAAGGTCTGCTCCAGGCAACTTTGTGAAATAAACAAAATGTTAGCGTTGCTTTCTTCTTCTTCTTTTTAATTCATGCCCTTTCCTGACCTCTGTGGCGGCTCATCTTTGATCCTCTGGACAGATAGAGGAGACACCATCATTGGCTGTATTCAAATCCTTTGGGTACCACTTGAATTTAGTGTTCACATATCAGAGCACTCCAAGGAAGACTTTATTTCAAAAGGGATTTTTTCTCATCAGTAAATGCAACATACTAAGGGTCGGACAAGCTTTGCTGTGGATCAGTGACCTTGTTACTACTAGTAATGAAATTCTTTGTACTCTATCAAACACCAGGCATATGTGATTTCATTTTGAAAAAGACAGTGGAGTGGGGTGGTGAAGAGCTCAAATAGAAGCTGCATGTGAGAGTTCAAATCCCAGCTCTTGCGGGTAATCACTGGGTAAACATTCTATGCCTCATCAGGAAAATAGGCTTGTTAGGGAAGAGAGATGATGGGTTCTGAATTACATTAGTGTTTAGCATGTAATTGAAGTTACATAACTGTTACTATGGAGATGATGCCTTGGTTCCATCTTTTTTTTTTTTTTTGTCGGTTGTGGGGTTTGAACTCTGGGCCTGGGTGCTGTCCCTGAGCTCTTCAGCTTAAGACTAGCACTCTACCATTTGAGCCACAGCACCACTTCCAGTTTTCTGTTGATTTATTGGAGATTAGAGTCTCAAGAACTTTCCTGCTCAGGCTGGCTTTGAACCACAATCCTCAGATCTCAGCCTCTTGAGTAGCTAGGATTATAGGCGTGAGCCACTGGCACCCAGCTTCCATCATTATTTAGCTGAAGAGAGAGAGAGTGAGAGAGAGAGAGAGAGAGAGAGAGAGAGAGAGAGAGAGGTGGTACTAGGGTTTGAACTCAAGGCCTTGTCTCTCTGTTAGCATTTTTTGCTCCAGGTTAGTGCTCTGTCACTTGAGTCATACCTTCAGCTCTGGTGTTTTACTGGTTAGAGATGAGGGTCTCATAGACTTTTCTGACTGAGCTGGCTTTGAACCAACCACGATCCTCAGATCTCAGCCTCCTGAATAGCTAATACTACAGACATGAGTCACTAGTACCTAGCTTATATATGGTCTTATTTTTAACCTTTCAATAGTCCTGTGTGACATGTATTAATGTCCTCTTTATAGACAACAATTAATAAGTGATTGAGATGAGAGATCTGAACCCAGGCTTGCTGATTTAAAATCACCACCCTTTCTTCATACAAAATATAAAAAGATGAGGACTCTCTCCCTCTCTCTCACACACACAGACAGACACAGACAGACACAGACACAGACACAGACACACACACACACACACACACACACACACACACGAGTATGAGGTTGCCCAAGGATACTCATTTCTCTTCACAATCAAAGAACACAAACTATTCAGTCTGGTCTTTTGGAGGACGGTAGCTTTATGAAGGGAAGAGTGTAGTGGTCCATAGCATGACTTGTTCAGCCAGGTGACGTGGATAGCCCCATGTGAAACGCCCTCACCCCTACCCTCCTCCTGCTTCCTAAAGCTGATTGGCTTTGTGAAAACTCTAATAGCATGTACTACTCACAGTTGATTTGAATGACCAGAAAGAAATGCCGCCAGGGAATGGAATCTATCCAGGTTAGCCATTACCATTGTCATCATCCTTTACTTTCCATCAAAAGTTGCAACCATAATTTAGCCTCCGTTGCAGTAGAATGGAATTTATATCTCAGCTTTGGATCTCATAGAACCAAGACTGTGAAGCTAGTGTTTGGAGCATATTCCAAGGCAACATGAATTTTCAAACACAGTGAACAAATATTTATTAATATTTTTCAACAGATGATAAATTGAGTGCCTACTATGTACCAGGCCATGGGGGAGTCTAGCAGGAAATACAGAGACAAGGCCTGCATCCCAGATGCTTGTGTTCCAGGCAGGCTGTGCTGATGGAAAGCTGCTTTCCTTTTCTGCTGACTCTGTAATGACAGAGTGAAGCAAATTTTTCAAAAACAAAATCCTAACAACCTACAATCTCCTCTTTTCCCCACAATCTCCCCCAACAGAGGACTTGGAGACCATGTAATCCTGTTTATACACAGCCATCATTTACAGAGCTGTGCTTTAAGGGAATTCAGAGTATTAAATTAGCCTTTTTGTGCTATACTGAAAAGGGAGGAACTGTATTCATTTGCACAGGTAATTACACCTAAGATATCACCATGATTCCCAATCAAAAGCTAACTCAATGGCTTAGAAGATTTCATCTTAAAATGGATGATGACTTGTTTCAAGGATGTACAGATAAACAGGATGTCATTGTAAAAAAAAAAGTCCCCAAACAACCAGTTTAGCTCCTGCCATTAAACTGCAGATACAACACTAAATTTGTGCTCCGGAGCACTCATTGCTGAAACATGAAACGAGTTCCCTTAGCATGTTCCTGGTGCTGTAGGAGCAGCATTCTCTTCCAAAAAAAGACCTGGATTTGGCCAGCAAGTTTGCTACAGGATTTCATTATACTTGCTGCACTGCATCTCACTTACTGCAATGTCAATTGAGGTGTTTGAAAGCAAACGTGAAAGCGATAGTCTTTCGGGGAGAGTGGGCAGGAAGCATTGAGTCTTCTGCTACAAAAATGACTTTCCGCAGTGATTATGGTCATGTGTTTTGAAATCTTTCCTCTCTTTCATTCTCTCTTTGCACAGATGACCCCAAAGCCATCATTGCTAATCTTACGGTAAGTGTTGCAAGCTACCAGCCCTCTGCCCCAAGGGCAGCATCCACATGCTCGCCTCCTGTTTGCCTTCTCTGTGGACCCAGTGGAACATTTCCCTCCCGGCCCTGCTGCCCCTTATATTTGGTCAGCTGCAGACTCCCTAAGGGTCTTGGCAATGAGACAAACTAAGATTATATCATCCTCCCATCAGAACTGGGACATAGTTATTCATGATTAATCAAATCTTTACTTTCTCTGGAACAGATCTGCCCCCATCCCATTGCTCCTCCATCCAAGGTAGAAACTTCAAAGGCCTTGAGCACATCACCAGATAAGCCTGCACATGTGTTCTTCTCCCTTCCCACCCCATCCCTCAGTCCTTAACTTGGAGCACTTGGGAAGGTCTTCGGGTTTGATCACCCTCAGTTATGGATTTATAACTGAGAAATGGATCTTAAAATTTCCTTGTTTTCACCTGATAGACTGGAGATAGATTCCTCTCTGAAGTTAGCTAACTCAGTGGGAACCTATTTTCTCCCAGCTAATAGAGAGTATGGGGGCTAATAAATTCCAATTATTTGCTAACTGCCTTTCTGTTTGGCTTAACACTGCCCTCAGCTTTCAAGGGAGAGACTATATGGCTCTCTCTGTTTTATATATGTTTGTGTATTAACTATACAAAATGTGTTTTATTATATTTCCATGCATACATATGGAATATAATACCCGTATTCTGTAATTTTTTTGTACCAGTACTGGAGATTGAACTCAGGGTTTGAGTACTACTATCACTGAGCTTTTGCTGCTGGAGGCAGGTGCTCTACCACTTGAGCCACAGCTCCACTTTCAGCTTTTTGGTAGTTAATTAGGGATAAGAATCTCATAGACTTTCCTGATCTAGCTGGCTTTGAACTATGATCCTCAGATCTCAGCTGCATGAGTAGTCAGGAATACAGGCATGAACCACTGGTGCCTGGCTATATAATGTATTTTTTATTTTTGGTTGGTCATGGGGCTTGAACTCTGGGCCTGGGCACTGTCCCTCAGTTCTTCAGCTCAAGGTAAGAGCTCTAACACTTGAACCACAACACCACCTCCCATTTTCTGAGGGTTAATTGGAGATAAGAGACTCAGATTTTCCTCCCCTAGGCTGGCTTTGAACCACAATCCTCAGATCTCAGCCTCCTGAGTAGCTAGGATTATAGGCGTGAGCCACCTGCGCCCAGCTATATCATGTACTTTTGATCAAATCCACTCTGTTACTCTTTCTTATCCTCCTTTCCCCCTAACTTTTTAAAACAAATTTTAATGTTCTAGGGCTTTCTCTAGTAGAATTTCCATGAAAACACCAATTCTCATTTATATTTTAGTGTAAAAGACCAGACCAGCACTTTAAGCCTTACATGAAACAGCACCTGCCCAAACGTTTGCACTATGCGAATAACCGAAGAATTGAGGATATCCATTTGCTGGTGGAACGCAGGTGGCACATTGCAAGGTAGTGAGGGGATGGGCTGTCCCTGTTTCTCGTCCCAACCAATTCGTTGGCATCTAGAAATACTTTCAGGTTCTTGATCACCATTAAGAGTAATATCAGTTGGAAATGTACTGTTTCATTAAAAAATCTTGTGTCTTTGACAATTAGTGCTGAGACAATGCATCCCTAACGTCTGAGGTCAACATCTTGTATCTCTCTAGTCTTTCAGTGAATTTGTATGTCTATATTTAATGTTTGAATGGACATTCTATCATCTATTTTTATTACTCGAAGTATAACTGAGATCTTTCCCGAATATTCTGTGCTTGTTTGGTTGTTGACACACCTTTGCCTGTGGCAATGTGTATAGAGAGCTAGAGGAAATGTTAATCTTATAACCTCTGTTGTTGGAGACATTTTTTTACATTGCTTTAACTATATCTGATGATTGCCTTCTTTTGAACTACAGTTTTTGCTTTGGAATCTGATATAGGATATGTTTGGGGGATGACGCTGTAGACACTTTCCAAGAATCAATCATCAAAGATTTATTCATCTTCATGACTTGGAAGCAGATCTTATCCACTTACTTTAACATTCTCCTAGCAAAAATGTTGTGAATCTGTTTGAAGCAATAATTGAGCAACTATGTCATGCCCTCTAGCTAGGTACTGAGAGTTTACAAAGGAAGATAAAGAAAAGAGAAGATGCTCTAGGAACTTGTACCAACAGGGAGCACTTAGAAAGACAGCAGGGACCCAAAGCATAAATATCCTTCTGTCCCTTTGTAAGAGAAGATAGAGTTAAACACAGGATTATGAAGACAGACACATGAAGACTGGAAATGATTAGAATCATGGAGAGCAGACATGAGGAATTCTCATAGACATATTGCAGAGAGGTGACAGACAGAGTCCTCTGTGAGACCGTTAATGTATGGGGCAACTAAGAAAGAGGAAATTTGATTCCATTGGCAGGTATATATACAGGTGTATATATATGTATGTATATGTATATTATACACGTATACACATAAACACACAAAATGAGAATTGAGTAAAAACGAAGTGAAAGAACAAATTGGTGTACATCAAATCCAGGCATTTAAATGAGCAGTATCGCTTTTATATTTAACTCCTACATTGTTGAGGTAGTATTTGCTCATCCATCATTATTTCCAGTTCAAGGTATTTTTTTTTAATTTTATTTTATTTGTGAACATACTGTACAGAGGGGTTACAATTACATGGGCAGGATAATGCGTACATTTCTTATCAAGCATTGCAGCCTCCTCCTTTGTTTACCCTTCACATCCCTTCCCAGCCTCCCCCCTCCCCCCCAATCCCAATCCTT